TGGAAGTCCGGACACAGGCCCCCAGCCAGCTCTAAGGAGGACCCCCAGTGTCAACAGAAGCTGACGGAGGATCCCGGACTGTCACCCCCACTTCACAGCATCTCTTTCTTCATCAGAATGATGTCAGGAGAGACCTTTAACTAAAAAGGAAGAAAGTTTAACTAAAATTCATAGTTTCATAACATACACATTAAATGTCCATAACGCAATTTTACAAATCACTCATACAGAGAACCGAGAAAAATCTCAGCTTGAATGAGAAAATGCTACGGACCCAGACCCATTTAGCCCGCTGCAGTCTGTTAATCACTAAAAGGACAAGTTTTGCAAGACATAGTTTATTCCTGAGGGTGGCAAACAGGAGATGGGAGTTCCACGTCTCAACTCTGTCTCCTAGACCACAGCATTTGGGGTATTTACGGAAGCAGCAGCATCAAGGTCTCAAGCATGGGGAAACGTGATTGGAGGTTAAGGAAAGATGACGTAATCAATGGCCTGCGCATGCGTGATCAAACCAGCGCTCTTGAGACTTGCTTCCAGAAAATAATGATGTTAGAGTGCTATGAGGGTGGTGTTCTTAACCCTCTGATATCAAAAGGCCACCCATCGAGTGAAGAGGCAATAATTTCAACCGGTTGGAGCTATCGGGTTCCTGAATGACACCTTAGGCAACTGTTACCATCCTGACCAATACATCAGAGATGTTATCTATAGCCAACTTGATGGGAGGGTGTATAGTGCTTAGCTAAATGACCTCAGAATTGTCATTAAAAGCAAAGGAAACTAGAAGTTTTGTTAAGATTTTTCTGTTTCAAAAGATAGTCAACAGATGCCATACAAAAATCTCTTCAGATGTTGTAAGTCTCTGAGGAAGATTTTAAAGTAGCCATCATAAAAATGCCTCAGTGAGCAACTATGAACATGCTGGAAAACAAAAAGAAAAACAGAAAATCAAAGAAATTGAAGATGTAAAGAACTAATGAGAACATTTGAACATTTGCAATAATCAAAATTTAAAACTCTCTTGATATCCAGGCACAGTGGAACATAATCTCAGCTACTAGGGAAGCTAAGGCAGGAAGCTCACAAGTTCCATGCCAGCCTGGGCAACTTAATAGACCCTGTCTTAAAAACAAAAAATAAAAATGTTTCAATGGTACAGCACTTGCCAGTAGTGGGGGGGGGGGTGTAAAATGTATTCCATGGATAGATGAATAGCAGAATGGAGAATAGAGAAAGTATGATTAGTAAACTGGAAGATAGAAAAAAAGAAAGTGCCCAATCAAAACAATAGGAAGAAATGGGTATAAAACAGAATATCAGGGACCTGTGGTACTATACTGAAAGAAAACTCCTGTCATCAGAGTCCAGGAAGGAGAGAATGAGGTGGTACCTGAAAAGTGCTTAGGAAATAATGGCTAAACATTTCCCAAATTTGGCACAAAATAAAGATTCAGGAAGTTGAGAAAACTCAAACAGGATAAATCCTGTTTATCCTTGAGTATAAAACCTCAAACAGGAAGCCAAGAAACCTCAACCTTAAAGAAACTCATGCTAATAAGACACATGAAACTTCTAAAATTTAAAGACAAAAATAGATTTTGATATTTAGATCCACCAGTTCAATTACTTCCAACAAATTGAATGAAAGCACAATCACCTTTGATTTCTAAAGAACACCTTCTACCATCCATATCTTTTACTATTCATAGCTTTTTGCAATATTTTCTTTCCAAGAGAAAGCATTAAGAATATAGTGAAATGGCCCTGGAGTGGGGTTTCTCAGCCTACTGAACTGTAAACTCTCTTTCAGTAAATATAAAAAGTTTATGCCACATTTAAATATGATTTTAACTTCAAGATAAACTATTAGCTCTAAATAAAATAAAAATAAGCATCTCAATCATCTACTCACCAGACTGATAGGGTGGACAGTGATGTGTAGGATGAGTGAATTCATGAAAAGCCATATAACTTGCCTCAGTGCAATGTGGCTTTCACTGGTGGAAATGGTACCTCTGAAATACACTGTTTCTCAAGAAGTAAGCAAACAGATAAAAATTATTTAGCCTTCTAGGAAGATTCAGACAAAATTCTGTACTAAAAAATATTTTAAATCCCAGAAAAAAATAATTTCCTCTAATGATGGGAGGGTTTATTACTCAGGGTTTACACAGATTAGAGATCTCTGACCTACATGCTTTTGCAGAGTCTCTTTGGGGGCTAAGGCTGGCCTTTCCCTAGCTTCATATATTGAAGCAGTTTTGCAATTTTCCACACTATGGTTGCTCCTGCCTTGATGTGGCTTCTGTTGGCCAGCATCTGTCATAAACAAGGAGAAAGGCCTACAGATCATTCCACAGCTGCCTGGGTACCCTGTTTCTGCAGTACTTAAAAAGTTAACCATGACAATTGTTGATCATGACATAAGATTCTAGATTCCATCTCTCCTCTGGGTCCTATCACCCAGATTTCAAAGAAAAAAATAGAAATAATCTGAAAATCCATCAACAGGGAAGAAAATTAAAAATAATCTTTAAGTCCATTATTAGGAAATTACAGTATACTTTTCCCATAAAATACCATGTAGTGATCAAAAAGAATGAAGTAAGCCTGAATATATAAAACTTGGAATATTTTCCAGAATTTATGGGAAAAAAAGGGATATGCAGTGCAACATGAAACTATCTATAACAGGCACATATGAGGGAACCACACCGAGTTGCAAATGGGAAGGATTGGGAACAGCATTGGGTAGAAGAATGCTTTGACTTTGGAATCTGTTTTCAGATTGATTTGTTTATATTAAAAAAATTTTTCATGTTTTGCTCATGCACATGGACTTATGAACACTTTAAAAATTAAGATCAAGATGAAAAATTGAGTTAGTGGAAGACTCAGTAGAGACTACAGGATATTGGATTATGAAGGGAAAAGACCAACTTGGACAATACATGGTGTTTTGTGGGAAAGGTATTAATTTCCTTTTAGTGGACTGGAAGATTCTTTCCTGTTGATGGATTTTCAGGTTATTTCTATTTTTTATGCTAAAAACTATATTGTAATGATCATTCCTTTATGTTTTTCTCTGTTCACATTCACCTTGTCTAAGGAGATGGGAAAGAAGCTAACAGCTAAACTTTAGTTCTAAATTCCTTGTAAACATGCTAAAAACTGGGACCTATTGGCAAATAGACTAATGATATTTGCTAAGAGGACTTTTATCTAAGGAATGCTTTTAGTGGTTCATAGCTGGTTAAGGATTTTTTATAATAAACTTAGAATTTATGGATGTTTGCAAGATTCTTGAAAGTTACAAAAGCTATACAACTTCAGAGGATATAATCTGGTCATGTTTCCTTACCTAAAGGCTCTCTGCTCTCTTCTAAGTTAAACTTTCTTACTAACTTGAGAAATAGCACAATGTAATAATAAAGCAAATGCATTCTGGAGTAGAGTGTGGGGTTTGAATCCAGGTCAGCCACTTGCTAAGTATGGCCTCAGAAAAGCTACCTAAGTTTTTGTGACAAGGCCAATTTCATAGTCATGTAACGATTATATGAGATAATGCGACAACACCAAGAATAATACCTGGAACATGGTAAATGATCAAACAATGATACACAATCATAGGAGCTCTTTATTTTTCTTACATATTAATTGTATGATTATTAAGTATTAGTATTTTGTGACTATTTTCTTATCTGCTATTGTTTATAAACATTTGTAAGATAGGGATTTTTGTTCATTTGTTTGCAGTGCTGGGGATTGAGCCCAGGGGCTCGAGCATGTAAGGCAACTGCTCTACCACTGAATCACACCCCCAGTCAAGGACTCTTTTTCTTTTTTAATGCAATCAAATCTGTCATTTTTTTCCTTTACAAACTTTATTATAACCTAATTTTTATCTAAATCATTTTATTGACTGCTGCAAACGTGAGTTCACATTTTCATTAATGTGCCTTCTGATTTCGGGGTCAGGATCTTAAGAGTCTTCTCTGGTCTCACCAAACTCCACTGCTGTTCTTTTTTCACAGAGGACAACTGTTGGTACTGCTTTTTCACTCTCCCTCTGAACTATTGCTTTTCTTTCCATATTATATTCCCTGAAAAATCTTATCTACTCCAATGATTTCAACAAAGTCCCTTTAGGCAGATGACAATGAAACTGTCAGTCCAGTATTTGGGTATTTCTAACTTGATTTTTTATAATCATCTTAACCTAAATTTCTTCCTAAATTGAACTTTATATAGTTATATGTATATATATACTAAAATGGAAAAATCTCTAAGGGATAAATACTCTTTTAGTTTTTTTTCCTTTAACTTATAATAAATAGTATAACTAAAGAATATAACTATTTATAAGTAACATGTAATCATGTAATATGCAATCATGTGTCCTCTGGGAAGACACACAAAAATGGGTACAAGTAGTTACAACACATAAGACTTCTCGCTTTAACTTTTTTGAGCCTCTTGAATTTTGTACCACCATATGTAATGCCTGTTCAAAAATAAATACAAGTCTATTAAGAAATACAAGGAACCACCTCATCAGTCCCATCACACCTATTGTCTGTTTTGGGTGGTGATATCCCTCATCTACTCAGTTTCTACTAAGCACTTGGGAATCATCCACCATCTTCTCAAATGCACATCTAATTTCCATATTCTGCTGATATGCCTCAGAAAGGAACCCTTCCATCCACCCACACATTTAATTGCAACCCTGGGATTATACAATAAGCTAAACCCTTTTGTCTGGGCTACAGACAAAAAGATGAGATACTGTCAGGACAATACCCTCAAGAAGCCCCAGAGCTTAGAGATGCAGAGCAGCACACATAGTACTTCTTAAATAACCAATTCCATAAGCCATTTACAAGTATTTATTTAGGTAAGAGGTCATAAAATATATTTTATAACATACATAAGAAAAAACACATTTGATGATTAAAAAATAAAATGACAGGTGACAGAATTTAGTGTTTAGAAATGAAATCATCAATAACTTCTAACAATTCAAAGAAAAAACTCAAAGTGTATCTAAAAGTTGAGACTATGTTTTACAATATTTTATAATAAAAAAGTATTAGACTTTTAAAGGCAATACATGACATAATGGTTTTCTGAATGATTTCAAAATAGGTTTTAAGACACTGTCATACATAGACATGGGAAAAGAAAAGACAAGAACTTTGGCAAGCAAAGTATTAATCCATAGCAGCTTGGTAAAAGTTTACTTCTTTTAATATAAAAATTCTTCAATTTAAATTTGTTCTTGTTATAGGAGCAGAAAGAATTAATATGGTAATGTGTGAGAAATCTATAAGCTACATGGCAAAAAGGATTATTTCAATAAAGCCTGACTTCTATGAAAAATGTGCACCACACTGCATATATAGTAACTGGGTAAATGTAAACCTTGTGATTATTAACTCTTCTATATAAAATATTTAACCCCCAAATCTCACAAAATGCTCCCTATATTTCTTTTTTAAATGCAGCCTCAAGCTTTAAACTAACATACATTTGCTATTTGAAAAAGTTCTCATCTCCATTTTTAAAAATGTTCTGTAAAGTACTTAAGAAAAAAAAATTTTTTCAGTATGCTGGTAACAAGCTTTCAAAAAACTACCAAAGCTAGAGAAGGGATCACCAAACCAGAGGTTTCCTTCTCTAACCCCTGGAAGACCGTGCTACTTGGAGGCGCATAGCTCCAAGAAGATAACTCAGGATTTCTAACTTAAAAAAAAAAAAAAAAAAAAAAAAAAACTGTCATGAATAACTGGATAATTAAATTTCTAGGAAAATGAAATTTTTCTATTTGGATTACGCAAAGTCAATTATAATGAATTGCCTTCCAATTATTTATGAATTATGAATGAAAGATGAGAAATCAGTTGTTACATACAAAAGATAAATACTGCATAATATGTAGTGAATATTTGCACAAACCCTCTTATTTAAAGCATTAAATGCAATCAGTAAATCTGATGCTCTTAAATGTGTTTTCTTAAAATACATTTATGACACAACTCAAAAAAACCTCTAAATGGTACAGAAACATTTTTAAGGCTTTCCTATAGGTTTATAACAAGCATCGGGTTGCCATAGGCGAATATCAACAAGAACCTGATTGAGTTTTTGCATCCAGAGATCCCGCTCTTCCTTAGTATCTGCAGACAGCCAGTTCCTACAGGAACAAACAAACAGAGGTCAGAATCTCCTCCATCTCATTCCATACCTTCATGTAGCCTTGCTAAGAAAAATGAAACCAAAAAAAAAAAGCCTAAATAAATCAGTAAAAAGAGTTAGTCTTAACACCTTTTAATGAGTTCTAATAAAGAACCACAAAATGAGATGTTTTTCTAAGTATAATAGAGTAAAATTATCCTGTTTGGTTAGCTGATCATAACTCACACTAACGACGTTTCCAACAAAGAAGGTGTTTCACACAGGCAGTCTTGCCTAGGTAATTTGGCAATGTGAGACACCCACTGAGTATAGGCAGCTTCCTAGTAATACTATCACAGCTCAAATCTGAGTTATCGATATCCTTGAGAGCTCAAATCTGAGTAACCGATATCCTTAAGACTCAGGCTCCCTAAAAGCTGGATGCTCTTGGATCTTAACCTGCCTTTATAGGTAATGCCACTGTCATTGTTCCCCATTATTTTTGTCCTACTATGCTGGTAGAACATGGTGGTACTTAAAATAAAGATTCTAAGACTTTTGTCATACCAGGAATCTCTTCCTTGCATCCATATTAGCAACAAGTTGAATGAATAACTGGTTGATGGGGTGAGCAATGGCAGGGAAAGGGGGAGTTCCCTAATTCCCAGACAGACCGTCCTTCTAGAGAATAGCCATTTATCTGTTAAAGGGTTTTATGCTGTACTCATTTTATACCTTTACAATTTGTCATTTATACTAAAATGGTGCAAAAATGAATAAGGGGGTAAATTTACCATTTCCGAAATGTTAATAAAAAGAATATTACTTGGAATAACAATGACCTTTTGTAGTGCTCAACATTGTGCTGTGTATCTATTCATTAACTCTCTTGTCACTCTATGAAGTTTCTTTTTCCCTTTTGACACAGGAGAATTCAGAGAACTAGCAAAGTTAAGTGACCTGCCATGATTACATCTATTAAGTTACCAAGTTAGGTTTGTAGAGCCAGAAGTGTAGCTTATGGTTTGATCCCCAGTGCCCAAAACAAATTAAAAAACAAAACAAAAAAACACTTAGGTCTGTTGACTTTAAAGCTCCACTATAAATATTGCCTCCCCATGTGATAAGGTATTTCCAGTTCAAATATGTAGTGTCTACTGTAAGGTAGGCAATATTGATCAGGAGAAATCTTTTATGATGAAGAAGGGAAATAGAGCAAGCCTGGTTAATAAAAATGAAAATGAGGTACATTAAATTTAGATAAACGGTATATGTTTAAAAGGCACTAACTACAGAGAAACGGATCAACAAAAAAGAATGCAGAATTGCAGCGTATTCTTATTGTTATGATCAAAAAAATAAAATAACTTTTAAACCCTCAAGCAAAGCTTAAGATAGCCAGGACTATAAACTGAGAATATGCTTGGATAAAACAGAACACAACCAAGTTATGATAATGTTATAAGAAAAACTACACATAAATAAACAAAATAATTAGAGCAATAGGTAATCTAGCTACTTCTACCATAGGGGAAGTCCCAAAGAGCAGTGTAGAAGGGTTTATGCAGCAAGTAAAAAATAAGATTATATGAAAAATATGAGTAAGATTTTACAAGAGATAAAGTAAGCTGTTGTGGTCAGAACTATTTAGGTACTGAACTTTGGTTCTCTCAATGATGGAGACCAGCCATGGGGCAGCTACCAAGCAAAAATAATTACAAATCCATTTTGCCTCTCCTGTCCTGTCTTTACACTACTGTTGAAGGTCCCCGAAGGAAAGGAATGGATAAGCCAATGTGAATTAATCAGGACGTAACCTACTCATCAAGAATTTGCAAAGAATGGGTCCCCTAGTTTTTAAAAAACAAATTGGCAGGCTCTGAGGAACAACATTGTTCTATTTTGGTATAATGTCTCTGGGCTGCAGCTTTCTAAGATTTTCATATTAGAAACTCAGTGAGCTAAGACTACCATCTCCCTGTCCTCAATATCCAGCAACAGCCTGATGAACAAAGGTTTTTGTCAAATTCTAATTTTTGTGCCTAGTTATAACTTTGTCTTCCAACTTTTTGGTCATTCACGCAAACAAAGCTATGTTAGACCCTTAGAGTTATTACTAAGTTTTTGTATCTTAAGCTGAAGGTTAACAAAAAAGTGATATTCCCAAGAATTTATTCTCTCAACCTCCAACCAGGAATCTGAAGAATGAGACTCTTTTTGTAAATCATTGGGTTAAATGAGGGTATTTTTGTAATGGAAAGGAAGGAATTTATCAAGTTTTCTTAAAGCTTGACTTCTCAGCTACACATGAAATCTGTAAACTTAACCCAAAGATTATTAATTAGCTAACCACCTTGAAAATGCCTACACTGTGAACATATTAGAAAACATGATTAGCTGGGATATAACCTGAATGTTAAATACTTCTTAACTATATTGTTTTATAGACTGTTCTCTTAATGCTGTAGATGTGTTTCCTACTATGGCTGTTCCCCTTTCAAAGTCAGAGGTCACTCTGATATTTCTCATAGTGGTAAGAACAAAGTGGGTAATTAGTTACTTAGTTGACAGAAATAATAAAAGGCTGATACATACTTTGTGACACAGAGTGTATCCCTACATTGGCTGACGAGAGTCTCTCGGTCATCTTCTCTCTGTGGTCGGACAGTAATTAATTCAAAAGTATTGCGTCTTGCACAAAATTCTCTGTTGGCTGGTTCTATCTGATGGCTGGTACAATTGGCCAGATTAATCCTTCCTATGGGATTCTTTAAAAATAAATTTTAAAAACATTAGTAGTCTAATTTCTTGACTTGACAAAACTAAGTCAAGAAACATTAAGCGTTAAGTTAGTAAAATTAAAATTAAAAAGCCATTCATTTAAAAGCTAAATTTCCCCAAAATGGAAAATTAATATATGGGGGGAAAATGCCCTGGTAATCTCTAATCATCAGGGAAATGTAAATCAAAACCACAATGAGATATCACATCATACCTGTTAAGTTGGCTAGTATCAAAAAGATGAAAGAGAACAACTCTTGGTAACCACCACCACAACAAAAACCCCTATACACTGTTGGTGATATTGTAAATAAATATAGCCATTTTAGAAAACAGTATGAAAGTTCCTGGAAAAAAAACTAAAAATAGAATTACCATATAACTCAGCAATCTCATTACTAGATATATACCCAAAGGAATTGGAATCAGTATGTCAAAGAGATGTCAGCACTGCCACGTTTGCTACAGGATTATTCACAGTAGCCACAGTATGGAAACAACCTAAGTATCCGTTAACAGGTGAACGGATATTAAAATGGGATACTACTCAGCCTTGAAAGAAGGGGGGCCATATAAATAAATTGTGATACAAAGTTTCCAACAAATATGGAATAAAAAATAACATATATAATAAAAATAAAATTTAAAAAATACATAATAAAAATAATAAAATATATAATTTTTAAAACCTTAAACAGGAAATTTTGACATTTGAGATAACATGAAAGAATCTAAAGGTCCCTGTGTTAAGTGAAATAAGCCAGGCACAGAGAGGCAAACAGCACATTGATCTTACTTTTTACATGTGGAATCTAAAAAAGTCAAATTCATACAAGTAGAGAGTGGAACAGAGGCTGGGGAAGGGAAGGCAGTAGATAAAGGGAGAAATTGGCCAACAGGTACAAAATTAAAGTTAGGCAAGAGGAATAAATTCTATTGCATGGTATGATAACTATAGTTAATAATAATGTACACTTGAAAAATAATAAAAGAATTTTAAGTGTTCTCAGCAGAAATGAATGAAAAATATTTGAGGTGATAAATATTCTAATTAGCTTGATTTGATCATTGCACAATATAAACATATATTGAAAACATATTGGACCCCATCATAAAGAGACTAAGTCATTACTTATCAGTTAAATTAAAAATTAAAAAAGTGAAAATATTTAATATTTTATATTAAACATAAATAGTCAATATTTCTTATTGTTTCTTGCTATACAAAAAATTGGAAACCAAAAATACCAAATGATGGCTGTTATAAACTATTCTATGAACCTAAAATAAACAAAACCACTATTATGGAAATCTTCAAACAGAAAATAAAAAGAACAGTATATAATCCCTTAAGTACCCTCAACAATTAGATACATCTGTTCAACTACCTTTTGCCTATACTTCACCTTTTTCTCCTCTTTCAGTAAAAAGAAGCCTAGACATCTTACTTCATGTATAAATATTTTTTTATGTATCTCTAAAAGATAAGGCCAAGCAATTGGAAGCTAAATCATTCCTGTGCTATGTTAACTAAAAATCCATGAGACCAAATGATCCCCAAAAAGGAAGAGGGATACATATGGTCACAGCCAATAAAACTGTCAATTCTATTAGTAATTTTAAGAATTAAAATAAAATATATAATTTTTAAAACCTTAAATGGGCTAAGTTTGGATAGAACAGTAAAATCCTCTGTTCGTTGGTTAAAGGTAACAGAAATTCTTACATCCCAAGTATAAAATGGTTTGTGACTGGCTGGCAATTTGATAACAGCTATCAAAAAGCATTACAAGTAAACATATTCTGATCTACAATTCTACTTAAAAGAAATTTATCCTGAGCAAATACATAAGCAAACAAAGATATTTATTCATATGTAGTCACTATTTTTTCACAATAGCAAAAATTCAAAACAAATTAAAAGACAGTAAGGGGGGCCATATAAATAAATTGTGATACAAAGTTTCCAAAAAATATGGAAAACTAAACAGTATGAAACTAAATAGTATGAAAGTTCTGCTATTATATAACCCCTCCAAAATTCTAGATAATTGAACTTAAAAAAATAAAAGAAATCATCAAAAGCCAAAATCAATGAGGAAGAGAGAGTGCTGAAGAGCAAGCTAGCCTGAAATCCTGGTTTACCCTTGGGGCATTAACTAATGTAGAAATCTATAGCCTGGCTCACACAGATGAAATGTTTAATATGAAGCCTGGTACTTGCTTTAAAATATGCCCAGCAAAACAAGAAAAAAAAAAAAAAAGTATGTTCTGGAGACACAAATTAAACTTCAAAATTAATACTTCCCAGAGCTAATAGTATAGTATATTATTTCTTTTTTGTGTACATGAATATTTTAATTATAAAAAGCAAAATATAGGGTGGGGCTGAGATTGTAGCTCAATAGTAGAGCGCTTGCCTAGCATGTGTGAGGCACTGGGATCGAGTCTCAGCACCACGTATACATAAATAAAATAAAGGTCCATCAACAACTAAAAAAAATTTTTAAAAAAAGCAAAATATACTTTTCCATGTGTGTGCACCTGCAGGAGAGAAAGAGATAAAAGGGCTAAAAAGAGTAATACATTATTGAATAAGAATAAAGATTTGCCTGACCAGGTACTAAGATTTATTTTAAGCTGTAGTTATTGAGATTAGGATAGAAAAAGAGAAAAGGAAACAGAATAGAAAAGCTAAAACATAAACCTACTCATAATTATATCTTAGATGTATACATATAACAAATATATTAATACTTGCCAGAAATGGCACTGTGAATCAGGGGGAAAAGGACTGACCATTCAATAATGCTGGCAAAATTTGTTATCCAGGGCTGGGGATATAGCTCAATTAGTAGAGTGCTTGCCTCACATGCACTAGGCCCTGGGTTCAATCCCCAGTACCACACACACACTCACACACACAAACACAAAAGTTTTTCTGGTCCCAAAAAGTAAATTTAAAAATTCTAGATAAATTAAATGTTAAGTATAAAACTTTGTAGATAAAGTATAAGAGAAATTTTTTGGTTACAGGGTAAGGATGGTTTTCTTAAGACTCAAAAAAGTACAAAGAGCTGGTGATATAGCTCAGTGATAGAGTACTTGCCTATCATGCACAAGGCCCTGGGTTAAATTCCAGTGTCACAAAAACAACACAATAGGTTAACAGATCTGGTTTCCTCAACATTAAAAAATTCAGTAAATTTTTAAAACACTGTAATAATAAAAGATATCCCAAGCCATAGACTAGAGAATTATAATTCCAATTTACAAAAAAGAATGTGAAATGGCTAAAATATATAGAAAATCAATTAATAGAAGAGAAAATATAAATAGCCATACATATAAGAAAAGATGCTTCCTCTAGTAATCAAGGATATATAAAATAACAGTGAGATAACACTTTGGATCTACTGACAAAAGTTTAAAAGGCTGACAGATCAAGTGTCAGCAAAAATAGGAAAACTGAGAAGTCCCATATACATCTTGGTTGGAATGGAAAATTGTGGACTATCTTCAAAGAATCATTTGACAAAATAGCTAAAGATATGAAAAATCCCACAACTCAGAACTTTCATCCATTTATTTAAAAAGCAACAGAACTAGTTTTAATAGCAAAGATGTGGAAATAATCTAAGTGCTCCTAAAGAGGAGAATGAATAAAGTGTGATGTGTGTGGTCTTACAGTGCAATACTATATTCAGAGAAAAAGAAACTAAAAATACACATATCCTCCTAGACTAACTAACACATTGTCCTCAAAAAGGCAAGTTGTAGAATATTTACAATATATTATTTGTTCAATGTTTAAAATACCAATTGCAATAACATATATTACATATATACAATAGAATCTGAAGAAATACATAGGAACAAAAAACAATTTTAGCATGGGTTATCTCTATGGAGAACATCTACATAAACAGCTTCAACTGGACTAATAACTAAAGTTGACTGAAATGATGTTTTTGTGCCTTTTTGAATATCTTAAACATTTCACATATATTTTTTAAATACTAATAATCTTAATGACCATAATGTAATACTATTTAATAATTACTAAACACAATATCATAGATTTATCTTTTTTGATGTGGAAAGATATAAAGTACTGCTTTGGCTGGAGATGTGGCTTAATGTACATGGTTGCCTAGTATGCTCAGGCCCTAATCCCAGCACAGGAGGGGGGAGGGGGCAGAAAGACTCTAAGAGAAAAGAAGAAAAATCATAAGCAATGGACAGGATGTAAAATCTTGACAAACAGAGGACTGCAGCAAGAACATTTTAAGGGCTTAGTAAGTACATGCAAGGGAGAATCTTGAAGGACAGAGGGAACACTTGCATGAGACACCACATGAAAATCAGAGCTCTTCACCACCAATCAGTACTACTTAAATTACCTTTCTCCTCTCATCATCTGGATAAGTCCAATAAGAGATACAGTTGCCAGAAAGAACACACCATCTTCGATGCCAGGCACCAAAACCACTAACATCTTCAAATATGGTCTGGAAAAGTCAATTGAAATGCTGACTTGAGAAACTGGAGGAAAATGTCCAAACTATAAAATGCTGATTCTGTATCTTCAACTTCATGTCACCACATTTCATGTTGCCACATTTCATGTCAAAATCTATTTGTATGATTTGTATCATATCTTTTTACTTTAGTAATGAAAATTGTTGATTGTTCACATCAGAAGATAACTGTTATATTATCTAAAAGCATTTAATACCACCTAGATAATTAACCTCAAATAAATATCTATAAAACTTTAGAGTTTTCATGAGCATGGTATCCCTAACCAAATGCTCCTTAAACAAGAGAGATGTATGAGTGTTGTAGAATATAATGACATGAGAGTATAATATCTTCTGCATTAAAAAACTAGTGACAGGCTGGGCGCAATGGCACACGCCTGTAATCCCAGCAACTCCGGAAGCTGAGGCAGGAGGATCACTTCAAAGCCAGCTTCAGCAACAGTGAGGCTGTAAGCAACTCAGTGAGACCCTGTGTCTAAATAAAATACAAAATAGGGCTGGAGAGGTGGCTCAGGGGTTGAGTGTCCCTGAGTTCAATCCCAGTTTACCCTCCCACACACACAAAAAAAAATTGTGATAGGATATTAAGTTAAACTTATCTTCACATGAAGTCTGGCATTTCATTTATTCTCATTTAGAACAGAGTTTCTAACAGGATTATAAAAGTCAACTCATGATCATAAGTTGATGGACTACTGTGATAAACATCAGAACCCCAAGTCCACTGCCTGGCTATCAGTTGCATTTGGAAGTGGCATCTCCCTGCAGTCAGACATGTCTTAGGAATGCAAGTGGCATCCCAAGGGTAGGTGAAAGATAGTGTTGGTTACAGACCAAACACCTAAATAGGTAATGAGCAAGTACTTCCACTTAAACAATTTAAGTAGAAGCTGGGAAGTTTTTTTCTCTGCTATTTTTCAATTGTAGTTATAACAGAGCCCTAATTTATATGAAATCCTCACTTTTAATTTTTAAAAAAATCCTTTAGGAACTTTTACATTAAAGAAAAAAGGGAAAAAATGTAACAATGCTATATATAGATCATGAGTTGGCAAAATTTTCCTTGAAGGGCCAGAGAATAAATATTTCAGTCATAGTAGCTCATCTAGTCTATATTACAAATATTCAGCTTTCTTTTGTAGCACAAAAGAAGCATAGACACTAAGTGTAAACAGATTATCCCATTTCTACAGCAACCACTGGTGGGTCCTACTTTGCTATCCCCTGATGCAGATAACCTAAAGGCATCTTTGTGTTTGATTTCAGAATACACCAAGGTTTTCCTACCTTTAAATCACAACTTTACCTTTCTGATTGTTGGGTAGCTAAAAACAACACTAGTATTATTTGATTCTGGCTGGGAGGCACACTATTCCAAGAACATGTTTTCACATTAACTCAACTAATCCTAGCACCAACCCTGCAACAGGATACATACTCTTTCCAATTCACTGGTTTATGTGAATTTGGCAAAGGCAGTTTGTATGAGTTGCTTCCATGATAGATAAAAAAAAAACCCTCAAATCTATAAGCTTAGTTAGTTTAGTAAAATATTCCTAATAATCATATTCCTCCTGTCCTTTTTCCTCCTCCCTAGCTCATTCTTTTTCACAACACATGCTTTTTTCTGAACAACACTGCTCATAGCTAAGGAAGAAAGAAATCTTGTCATTTCAATTTCAAGCACAAGTTAGTGCAGGTGACTCATGTCCCTCCTGTGTGAATCTTTTACACCCTGAAGGTAACAGTCAAGGGAAATGCTAATGGAGTTATTATCATACCCTACTTAATCAAAGAGGAATAAGACAGCCTTTTCATCTTTATAGCTGAGGAAAATGAGGGTTAGGGGAAAATTAAGTGACAACACACAATAACAAAGCAAAATTGGCATCTTCTAGCTCCCTGTCCAAAACGCCTTTCTGCTGTCATCATTCAAGACCGATCTGGACCCACATTGATTTAGAACCAGGTACCAATGTCTCTGGTTACAGACTTCCTCCTCCAGCTGTCTCTGGCACAGCAGGAAAGGAAATTGAACCAAATAGCTTTCATTTCAGTTACAATCTCTATTTTTTACAGAAAGTAGGTGGAATTAAAAATGCATTGTTTAGGCAGAGGACAAAGTCATATGAGCGAGTTCTGAGCTCTTCATTTCTGTGACTGTGGGTGTAATAACAATGGCTTTAGGATTCAAGTCTAGTTAAGAGCACAGCTCAAAAATTAAATAGGTTACACATTATATACAAATGAACTGGCTACTAGAACAGAACCTATCAGTTGCTAAAGGTGTCTACAATAAAATGTAAAAATATTTACATTTAAAGGTCAGTAAGTAAACATGACTTTCAAGTCAGAAATTTATTTTAAAATGCTTTTCCAAGGGCTGGGGATGTGGCTCAAGCAGTAGCGCGCTTGCCTGGCATGCGTGTGGCCCGGGTTCGATCCTCAGCACCACATACAAACAAAGATGTTGTGTCCGCCAAAAACTAAAAAAAAAAAAATATTAAAAAATTCTCTCTCTCTCTCTCTAAGAAAAAAAAAAAAAAAGCTTTTCCAAGACTATCTACTGCCACCTACTGGATTTATAACTGAAGAAGATAACAAGAAAGGAAAAATTGTGTGTGTTATCTGTAGGAAGTCTGATTTAGCTAGGCCACATGGGCTTTATTTTATACTTTAACTCTTCTTTTTTGCACCTTTCAATAGTAACTGCAAACTTATTTGTAACATCCCTTGTATCATTCAAATTCTTGTGTCAAAGAGAAAACCAATTCGATTTTCACCATAAACAAAACTTTCTATGTATTCTACACATATACTATTCTCTAATGACAGAAAAAGTATAATTCTATATAGACTGATCCCATGAACATTTCATCCCCTCATGACCTTGCTTTATGAATTACTCTAGTTCAAGTTCTCTATGGCTTCTATCTTCATCCTCTTTGGCCCTGTTAGAAATCACTCATTTGTATTTGGAGCTGCTCAAGTTTCTCCCATCCTAATAAATGAGGACCAAGTCCCTCTTTCACCCTACAGTACACTCACTCTTCTCTTTTCCCACTTGCTACCAAACTTTGTTTACAAGAGTTACTCCTGCTCTCCTCACCTGATCCAGAACCAGTTGTGATCTAGAGAACCACTTGTGATCTAGCCTCTGTTCTTGCCAGGGCTGAAATGACCACCTTATTACTCCAGCAGTCACAGTGGATTCTTATCTAACTTGACCACTCCCTCCTTCAAACCCTTCCCTAGGCAACCAAGACATTCAATTCTCCATTTCCTTCCCTGTGGAATCCTCTGAGGGCTTATCTCACTTAAATGTCAATGTTACCCCTGGTCTGCTCTGCTCATTGGCCCTGGCCTTCCATTACTACCTTGACATGCAAACACATCCATACCTCTATCACCACTAAAACTTCTACCCTCAGTTACAAATCCTGATCTTTGAAACACATCTCTAGTCCTAAAATTCAAATAATTTAAAACCCAGCTCATTAAAACTTCCCACTGCAAGTAGGAATTGACTGGGAAGGGGCATGAGGAAACTTATTAGTTTAAATCTTAATAGAAATTTGGGTTATATACATCTACGTATTTATCAAAACTCAAGAAATGGGCAATTAAGTTTCAGGGGAAAGCCCTTAATGTCTACAATATATTTTGAAATTCTTCCAAAAAAAGATAGAGGAATGGCTGGATAGGAGATATGTGGTAAAACAAGGTAGTAAAAAATGTTACAGGTGTAAGATAAAATCTAGAAAGTGGATAGATGGATGCTCATTGTAAAATTCTATACACATTGCTATTTGTTTGCCATTTCTCACAATAAAATATTGGGGGGTGGGGGGATACATGGCCTCCAGCCTCAAATGTGGGAAGGAAGAACATACTTGCTCTTCCTACCAGGTGCTTTACCTCAATAGTATTCCTGCCACTCAAAATGTGCAAAGAGGGAGCTGAGCGCCATTCGTGACTTGTGATTTCCTCACCTGCTAGAGCCAAATCACCTGTGTCTGCTTGCTTCCTTCTTCATGTCTCTCTGATGAGCCATTCCCTGCATCCCACTTGTGGTTCCCATCATCTCTCACACCCAGTACCTGTTTCCTAACTAGCCTTTCAGGATCACCATTCTCCAATCATGTTCCATATGTCAGGTCAAAATGATTTTTCTAAACCCCAAATTTAGTGTTTTCCTCTGTTTAAAATGCTTTAAGAATACCCCACTGGCTTCAGAATAAAGCCCAAAATCTTTTAAATGCCCTTTAACACTTGGCCCATTTCCCCTAACTATACTTTGCTTTCTAGTCCCTCTCCTCCCTCCACCCCTCCCCTTAACTCAAAGGCTGAAATACCTGTCATTGTTGAGTGTCTCATGCTTCTTTCCTTCAGGTGGGGGTAAGAGAGGGAAGGGCCCTCCAGGCCACTGAACATGCTCCCCTTATATGGAACACTTATCTCCTTTCCCCTAACTTATTCAGTGAGCAGTTTAGAAGTTACTTCTTCCAGCAGCTTCCTTTAACCTTCTCCACACACAGGACAGATATTTTGCCAGCTCACACCTACCCCACTGTGTTTTCTCCTACTTTAGTACTGTATTGTATTTGCCTATTCATTTGTATTTCCCCTTAGTGAACTAAAAGCCTTAGTTGAGTGATTGCTTTTTATGGCCTATGGTATTCCAGCACAATGACTGGCATATAGACGATTTGCAACAAATCTTTATTGAACCAATTTATCATTTAATCACATAGACCTTCATTCCTATGGGAAACCAAGTCTATGTTTTATAAAATTGAAAAAGGAAAATAAAGACTAAATGATGCTACTTACTAGAAAACCTTTTTCTTCAACACTTGAATTCACTTGACAATTTATTTTTAAATAAATATGACCTTCCAAAGGAGATAAAAAGGGTACCTGGAAGAAAAGGGCAAATTATTTGTAAAATAGTTTCAAAGATGATTTTTCTTGATAAAACATGTATAAATCATGAATAAAGAATAATATGCATAGAAAATACATCATTTCTAAAGTTGGAATATAAAAGACATAGCCAAAAAGCCACTGATTCCTTAGCAACAAACACTTTTGAAGAATAAATTAATTCACTGTAGAGCTTGACAAAAACAAAAACCCTAATTAATATGAAAAATAAAACATAGATTTAAGAATAAATTACATATTTATCTATTCTCCATCAACAGAATATACTCAACTGGAGACCAACTGCTTAAATTTACTAATAAAGAAAAATGAATTCCAGAAATGAGAAAGCTAATCCTCAGACTCATAGGAAATTGTCAAAAGTCCTAAAAACCAAAATAATCTTTAAAAACAGAAACAAAGATGGAGAAATTATATATCCCCATTTAAAAAAATTAATTCACCAGGTGTAGTGGTGTTTGCATTTAACCCCAGCAACTTTGGAGGCTGAAATAGGAGGATCACAAGTTCAAAGCCAGTATCAGCAATTTATTGAGGCCCTATACAACTTAGTGAGACCCTGTATCTAAATGAAAATAAAAAGGTCTGGGGATATGGCTCAGTGGTTAAGTGTTAAGTGGTTAAGGTTCAATCCCCCATACCAAATAAATAAATACATTTTAAAAAATAAAAAATTAATTCAAACTGTAGTACTGGCAAAGGATGGCACATGTATATCTTCCAATAAACACATAAAAAGATGCTCAAAATCAACAGTACTTGGAAAAATACAAAATCAAACCTACAAGGGGCACCACTTCATAACCACTAGGCTGGTTAAAATTTTGAAAAGAGAAAAGAATCAAGAATGAATAAACGGGATGGATTCAAAATAAAAAGCAGCTTCTCACAAAGGAAACAATCAATAACATGAAGAGAGAGCCTACAGGATGGGAGAAAACCTTTACCACACACACCTCAGAAACAGCACTAATCTCCAGGAAATATAAAGAACCCAAAAAACAGGGCTGGGGATGTGGCTCAAGCAGTAGCATGCTCGCCTGGCATGCGTGCGGCCAGGGTTCGATCCTCAGCACCACATACAAACAAAGATGTTGTGTCCGCCGAAAACTAAAAAAAAATAAATATTAAAATATTCTCTCTCTCTCTCTCTTTAAAAAAAAAAAAAAAAGAACCCAGAAAACTTAACAAATAACCAAATAACCCAATCAATAAATGGGCTAAGGAACTGAACACTTCAAAGAAGAAATACAATCAATCAACAAACTATGAAAAAATGTTCAACATCTCTAGTGATTAGAGAAATGCAAACCAAAACTCTTAAGATTTCATCTCACTCCAGTTAGAATGGCAATTATCAAGAAAACAAGTAACAATAAATGCTGGCAGGGATGTGGAGAAAAAGGAAACTCATACATTGCTGGTGGGAAGGCACACTGGTGCAACCACTAAGGAAAGCAGTATAGATTCCTCAGAAAACTTAGAATGGAACCACCATTTGACCCAGTTATCCCATTCCTCAGTTTATACCCAAAGGACTTAAAATCAACATAGTACAGTGATGCAGTCACATCGATGTTTATATTAGCTATTTACAATAGCTAAACTATGGAACCAACCGAGATATCCTTCAACAGATGAATGGATAAAGAAAATGTGGTATATATACACAATGGAATATTGCTCAGGCTTAAAGAATGAAATTAGGGCATTTGCAGGTAAATCAATGGACCTGGAGAATATCATGCTAAGCGAAGTAAGCCAATCCCCCTAAAACCAAAGGCCAAATGTTTTCTCTGATTAGTGGATGTTTATCTATAATGGGGGGGGGGGGGGGGGGGAAAAGGAAAGAATGAAGGAACTTTGTGCAGAAGGAGTGAGGGAAGGGGAGAAGGTGTGGGGATGGAAAGGACAGAGGAATGAGACAGACATTATTACCCTATACACACTACCAGTGTGACTCTGCACCATGTTCAGCCAGAGGAAAGAGAAGCTATGTTCCATTTGTGTACAGTGTATCAAAATACATTCTACTGTCATGTACAACTAGTTAGAACAAATTAAAAAATTAAATTTAAAAAAAAGAAAAATACTCAAGACATGAAAATATGTCCCTTATAAAAAAAAAAAAAAAAAACATCAATAGCAAATCCAGATCCACAGATAATCTAAATGTTGAATCAGAATAAGAATTTAGAGCAAAAGATGGGCAAAAATGGGTTAAAAGGATACAGAATATCTGCAGAGAATTAAAAGCTGTAAAACAGGTCCAAATTCTGAAATTTCAAAACTAAAGAAAAAAGAGTTTCAATTACTTAGTAATTACTAGGTAGGCTTAATAGGAGACTGGGGTACCTCAGGAAAAAATTTAGATGGACTAGAAAACAGCTTATTAGAAATGATCTAAAATGAAGTACAAAGGAATAAAGAATTAAATGAAAATAAGAACATGCCATAACTTATAGGAAAATAGTCAACAGTCTAATAGATTTCTCAGGATCTCCAGTAAGAAGGTAGAACTGTGCAGAGGAAATATTAATGAGTTAGAATCTGCCAAAACTTACAAAATACACAACTACAGATCCATAAACCCTGCAGTCTAGAGGCAGTGAGAATTTCCTTCAGATATTAAGAAATTATAAAAACATTTTTGAATGAACAAAAACTAGAGAATTTATTTCCAGTAAATCTATACTACAAGAAATTTTTAAAAAGTTCCTCCTGAGAGTGCAAGGTTCCCAGATGGAAACCTGGATTTGCAAAGGAATAAAGAACACCATAAATGGTAAATACAAAAGGGCAACATTTTAAAACATAATTTTAAAATGTCATTTAAAAATTAATTAAAGAAAAAATGATGACAGTGCTTGATGGGAATTATAATAAAGAAGTAAAATATAATGGGATGGACAAATGGGATTATGGGATTATACTGTTGTGGGATTCTGTTATACGGCACATGATGTGGCGTAATAATATTTCAAGGCAGACTTCAATAGGTTTAGGATGCATACTGTAATTTTTAGCAACTACTAAAAAAAATAAATAGAAGGAAGTATACCTAAAATTCAACAGAGGAGATGAAAAGGATCACGAAAATATTCAAATATTAAATATTATCCTGAAGAAGGCAAGAAAGAAAAAACAAAGAAGCAAAAACAGATGAAACAAATAGAGGGAAAAAAAAAACAAGAAAATTGTCAACAAACTTTTTCTTTAAAGAACCAATTATCATTTTAGGCTTTGTAGACCATATGGTCTGTCACTTCCATTGAACTCTACCATTAGAGCATGAAGGCAGCCATAGACAACATAAAAACAAATGGCATAGCAGTGTCTCAAATAGTGTAATCACAAAAACAGACTGTTGAACTTTGCTAATAATAATAATTTATTAGTATTGGTCCATTTATTGTGACAAATGTAATGTTATTTTTTTTAACAAAAGAAAGTAGGCCACAAGCTAGATTTAGTCTGTGGGTTGTAATTTGCCCAACCCTATGGTAGTCTAAACCCAAACACACTAGTATAACATTAAATGTAAATGGACTAAACACTCCAGTGAAAGGACAAAATATTGTCAGACTAAACAACACATGACCATAAAAGATATTTAAAAAACATAAATCTGAAATATAGACACAAAGAGACTGCATAAATGATAAAAAGCTATTTTGACTACATTAATATCAACAACGTAGACTTTAAAATAAAGGTCATCGGAGATGGCGTGAATAATTCATCAGTATGATACAATAATCCAAAACATTTATGCAGGTAGCTCTAAAATACATGAAGCAAAAACTTACCAAAGAGTGCTGGGGGTGTACCCAGCATGCTTGAGGCCGTGAGTTTGATCCCCAGCATAACCCCCTACCACCCAAAATTGACAAAATTAAAATTAAATGTCTAAATACTGACTATGCTGCTCTTACTAGTTAAAAGTTTGGGAGCTGATATTTTCTTCCAGCATGAAAATTCTCATAAGAAATATTTTTAAATAAATCTTTCTTATCAATAGATTAATAGACACCTCATGTAAAAGCACTTTTTAAATTATAAAAGATGTTTAAACATATGTGACAATTTGAAATGATTTCAAATTTGAATTAGGGACTACAAATATAAGAAAAAATTCAACTGTATAGATTTCATCACTAGTATAAAATGGTAACATGTATATCTAAAGTGATATTCGCTTCTAGGTCAAAAAGGAAGAAAGATGTTATTTATTATCCATCATTTCGTCTGCCCTGTGAAAAACAATAACATTTTGAGTGGAATAATCTTAATTCAATCTAAATTTAAAAGTTCTCACCATAGTGTTAGTTCATTACAATTTGATCCTCCAACCCAAAATAGGTAACTTAAAGGGAAATTCTAAGACCCCTCCCCAAATATGTGTGTGTACATATATATATATATATATATATATATAAATATTTTAAAAATTACAATTTATATATTATATATACACATATATAGATTCCAATCGACTAATTCCATGAAATAAACCTCTAACTTTAGACAACCATATGTAGAATCAAAACATCATATTTTCAGTATACCCATTTCTTAAAACTTCTTTCTTTTCCATATTGTCAATTTTAAGTTCTTAGATTCTTTCCTCTCAATGCTAATTAATAAAATTTCATTTTTTAGCCCAGAGAATGCTGGAGATAAAAAATCTCAGAAAGATGAGGGGAAAATGTACCTTACTGCTTTAGAGATTTGGAAAAGTAGACAATATTCTTGATTAGAAGCTTGTCCTGATAAAGAAGAGAACTGAAAATATTCACAAAACCGTCAAGCTTACTGTCCCCTGTCAAGTGTGGAGAATTGCATGAAAAGATTATAATTCTAATCTGTTTAAGGAGTCCACACTTCAACTGTGTTATAAAACATAACTTATGACTAGGTTGAATGTTGTCATTAATTATACACGGTATATGTACTATTTTAATCACAGAGGCCAACAGATAGAAACTTAACAGCTTTAGAATGCCTAATCACTCTACCTCCAATCCCAAAATTCTATAATTCCAATTGGTTGTTTTACTTCATAAATGTTTGCTCAAATAATGTTTAAATTAACATCTCTATTTCCTAAAAGGCTTAATGCCTAAGAAGTTCATTTAGGTCAGATGATAAGCTCTGGATTTGTTAAGATAGAAGGCTGCCTCAATTATTTAGCTCTTTTGTGATATCAGAGACCAAACCCAGGGCCTCACACATGCTGGACAAGCAATCTAGCTCTTCTTGAAAGTCATTTGGCAAAGCTTAAGTTTCATGAATAAAGGTCTTGCAAATCTTTTTTTAGATTAAAAAAAAAAGAAGAAGAAGGATGAGCTTTGAGATGTCATTTTCCCTTTATCCATAAAAAGTATAATAAAACTATGAGTGTTCTGGACTCCCTAGAGAAAGATTTTGTGACTCCAGGATGTCAGGCTTTAAAGCAGATATCTATAACCTCAAATCAGATGGCAATCCACTATTAGTGATATCTTAAATCTGTGAAGCAAACAACCTAGGTTAACCTCAAAAGACATTCCTTTCTGAAGGGTATATCAGAGATAACCTTTATGCCGTTGGTCAAGGCACCAATAAAATAGACAGATACTGTCTTATACTAAAAGTAGGACATGAGAGACCTGTCTACTCTCCCAAAGTCAATTAAATCAGAATATTTATATGAGCAGAAAAGGTCTTACATTTTCCCCATCAACTTACTAAGCATATAAACTTTACTATCTATTGAAATATTCTTCTATATCAACCAAAAGCTATTGGAATAAATATTTGCTTTTCCCCATCACTCACAAAAGCACATTTAGGACAAATTTTACATTGAAATGGTTTTTAATTCAGAGACTTAAGAGTAAAAGACAACCAATTAAATTCAGTTATTTGATCTTGCACTCAACCATATGGTTGGTAATTTAAGTTATAATTACAAAGAAGTTATTAAGAGAATGGAAATATAATATTAATTTTTAAGTGTAACATTTTGAATTAAAATGGCAGCCAAAAATTTTTCTAAAGAACAGTCTATACTTAAGATGTCAATGAAGTCTCATTTTAGAGATTAATGAAATCGCCTACATATGTGAAAATTGGCTATGTGACTATACCAAACAAGGAATACAGTTCATAGAACCCAATTCTTATGCTTATCTGATTTGCAAATTTTATTTTAAGAATTTAAAATAAGAACTAAGTAGAACAAATAAAAATAATTTTAAAAAGAATTTAAAATTTAAAAAAATACTATCCAGCATTTTGTCAATTAGCATTTCTATATTCCCACAAAATGTTTGCACTGATCTTTTATAAGAATAGCAAATCTTTTTAAAGTCTTCTAAATAAATGCTCATATTCAATATAATTTTAGTGTTAAGTACATTTTAATTTCAAAATTAATATGCAAAGTATCATCTATAACAATATACCAATTAGCCAACCAAGAACATGAAAGTTTTCTACTTTTATTTAAAAACATCAACAATAGCTTTTTCAGTACACGAAAAATCAAAAATATTGAATAATTTTAGTTTTAAACATAGTTACTAATTTGGTAGTCTAATTGGTACTTGGAAAAAAAAACAAAGGGACCACAGAATTTTAAAGAATTCATAACTAGATGAAAGCATATAGGCAGAAAAAAAAACCAAATACCAAACATGCATTTAAAAAAGAGAGAACTTTCAAAGAAAAATTTAAAGAATTATGAGAATGGAGAAAAAGATGCCCATTTGTAAGAGTCCAAAGAAAGTATTATGTACTTAATGTCCTTAGTTATTCAAAATAACCAAAAAGATATCAGAATAGTTAGTAAAACAAATATGCAAGAACCAAAAATGAAGAACTGATTTTTTTCAAGCACATTAGTTTTAAGCAAAGAAAACATGGCAACCTTTTCCTGGAACAAATAGCCCAGTAGCTCTCGCTCTTTTACATCATAATTTATCTAAAACAAACAACAAAAAGACAAAGAAAAAAAAAGACCCAGGATCACTCAATTTGTTAAACTACCTGAAATACTATATAAAAAGTTACATAAATTTTTAGAAATTAGCATGTTAAAATACATTTATTCATTAACAGTAGTTAAAATTTCAAATATAGTCTGCTTTTTGTCCACCAACTAAAAGAAATTTTTTTCATAGAATTTTAAAGTTGAGCTTCTTTTTGCAAACATAATATTCTACTAGGATACCAAGACCTCTGAGAAATAAAGTAACTTTGCATAATGTTTTCTTCTTTTCTTGATCCTGGAGATTAAAGATTGAACTCAGGGCACTTTACACTGAGCTACATTCCCAGCCCTTTTTATTTTTTATTTTGAGACAGGATCTCCTTGAGTTGCTTGGGGCCTCATTAAGATTCTGGGGGTGCTTAGTACATCTGTAATTCTAGCAGCTGTGAAGGATGCAAGTTCAAAGACAGCCTCAGCAACTTAAGAGAGGCTCTAAAGCAACTTAGCGAGACCCTGTCTTTAAATAAAATATAAAAAGTTTTGGGGATGTGGCCCTGTAGTTAAGTGCTCCTAGGTTAGATACCCAGGACCAAAAACAATAACAACAAAAAAGATTCTAAAGCTGGCCTGGAACCTGCAATCCTCCTGCCTCCCAAGTCATTGATTGGGACTTTAGGCAAGGATCCCCGTGTCCAGCTCTTAATGTTAAAGAGTGAATTACTAGCAGAGCAAATACTAGAAATCAGGCCTTCTAACTTTTCATTACTTCTTCACCTCTATATTATGACTTCAGATATCTCTTATGGTAATATAAATATCAAAGACAAATATTGCATGTACATTCTCATATATGTAAGTTTTTAAAAGTCAATCTGAATGTAGAACAGTGAGAGTTGAGAATGGGAGGGAGGGTAGGGAGGGTAGAGCATACTCAAGCACAATTAGAAGGAAGATGTTCTAGTGCTCCACAGCACAGTGGAGTGACCATAGTTCATAATAACCTATATTTTATGAAGAACTATAAGAAAAGAGTTTGAAAGCTCCAAACATAAAGAAATAAGAAAACAGAAATGCTAATTACCCTGAATTGATCAGTATATACTGTACATATCTATTAAAATAAGCATACTATAACCATAAATATGTATAATTACTACATGCTAATCAAAAATTTAAGGAATTAAAATTAAAAATACATATTTGTAAAAAATACTATATTACATAGCAGGAGTCAAACCAAGTGCCTCTAGTTTGTTCACTCCTTAAAATGGTCTTATTAGCTATTCAAAAGTTTAGTCATATCACATTATGGTGAAAAAAATTCTCAATAGTGATGTAATGCAGATCTGAACTTTGAAGCTTTTAATTTGGGAAGTACAGGAAAGAAGTTTCTTAGGATTACCTTTTCCAAAGCAAACTTAGTGTTTCCTACTGAGGATAATGACAGTGTGTAAGATCCAACAAGAGCAAAGTTGCTGGTACGCACAGCATTGAGACCTCCTGGACTGGCCATAACTGTAAAGAAAGAAGAAATACAGTAAAATCCAAAGTGACTTTTGTAAATATAAAGAAGAATTCCTCACCCCATCCTAACAGAATAAAATTAGATTGCCACAGAGAAAACTGCCTCATTTTCCTCCATTTTTAAATATGGGGGGGAATAAAATATCAACACATAAAATATCAACACATAAAGAAGGAAAACTATTCAGAATTTTATCTTTTTAATTTGAGGTACAGACATACCTACATTTTGAATGGTTATTTTTTAAAGACACAGACCTAAAAATGAATACATACAAAGCAATTTTCCCATAAGAAATATTGAAGAGACTTCAATTGCTATTAATCATCCAGGGTGACATAATTAAAAGCAGAGGCTATTTCTGCATAGGACTTCTTAGTAACTCCCATGCCATAAAGAAGACACTAATAACCCAAAGTAGGTGAGTAAAACAACTTCATTCTAAACCCCTATGGAAAATTTAGATATAAAGCCATTCTAGATAAAGCCTCTCCTGGCTTATTGGTGCCCCAGTTTCCAGTAAACTAGAATGAAGCTTTTCTGACATAATACCAGTCATGATCAGTAAAGTTTAAAAAAGTAAACTCCACTACATGGCTAGCACCCAACAAATTTTAACCAACAAGAGAATTAGGAGTGAAGAGTAATGCTACCTGCTGGAATTGCCAGGTGACTATCACATGTGTACTGACACCATAGCATAAATAATGTAAAGATTGGTAGCCTATGTTGGTAACTAAGAAATGTACAACCAGACTATCTGTTATTCCAGCCAATAACCTTAAATGTTACTTTTAAAAAATACACAAAAACATTATCCCAAACAAGACCAACATAAAGTCTTATAAGTCAAGATAGCCCATCCATAAATGGATATATTTATATATGTAGAAAAATGCTCATTTCTAAAGTTTCAAATAGTCCAGGATCCACTCACCAGAAGATTGAAGGTTGCTCTTCTAAAATAAATAAATAAACATATATAAAGAAGAAACATAAGTTATTTCCTTTATTTGATATGAAGATTTAAGTATTAAGTATAAAACCTTAACACTACAAAAACTACATTTCCAAAAACATTTTTCCTATATAAATATTGAGAGCTTTCCCCCCATTAATATATTTTAAATATTTTCACAGTACTAAGGGCTTTATAATTAGCTAACCAATTTATAATCATAAGTGTAAGATGAAATTCTTCAAGAAATCCCAATTTCTTAAAATTTTACTTACTGTGGTTATGGAAGTGAGGAGTCTTTTTGGAGTAATAGCCTAGAAGAAAAAATATCTTCATTTATTTCCAATTTTGTGATTCAGAGTTTAAAACTAACTTAATGTTGTATACATTCTCTCTGCCCCTGTCTCTCTCCTTTCTGGCTTCCATGTGATGATCAGGTTTCTTCCCCTTCCAACATGATGTCTTGCTCACCTCAGAGTAAGAGCAATGGAGTTAGGAATCACAAACTAAGTCTCTGAAACCATGAGCCCAGAATAAACTTTTCCTCAAATACGCAAAAAACATAAAAACTAACTTTGAGGTGTTTCCACAGAAAAGTAATTTTAATTCTTTAATATGAATATATCATCCTTTATTAAAGATTGTTCCCTATTGCTATTCCTTTCTTATTAGTGCTAAAAAAACAAACAACAAAGCCTATAATTTTCATTTTTCTTCATTTTATTTTTACAACTGAAAGTCAGAAGAAACAAATTTTTAAGAAATTATGACTTAGGCAAAGAACAAGAATATAGACTTGGAAAGTTAGAAACCAAGCTGGAGGTTCTGTTTCTTATTATTCTGCACAAGTAACCACATCATTCATTAAGTACTGGTTTAGAGTAATGAGTGAGATAAGAATACAGAAGAAAGCACTGGGGAAAAGTTCTAGGTAGTTTTAAAAGTCAGCTGTCAGGTACACACAGACAAAAGAGACTTATCTAGACTGAGTATATCAGGAGCTTACACTTAAAATCATGATTACTCACTATAAATTTACTTTCAGTTTACTAAAAATTATAAATCAATTAAAATTAATAATTATTCCTGCTTAAAATATTTTTACTAGGTATCTATAATTCTCACCTTGGACTTAGATGTTTTTTTCTTCTTATCAGCACCTGAGGAATCTTTCTTCTGTACCTATACACAAACCCAAAATACAATTAGCTTGATCTTCTGTCATTAAGAAAAATATACTATTGGTTAGTTTAGAAAGTTTTAATGGCTTACCAAGCTATAAACTTCAATATTTATTTGAAAGTCATTGGACACATCTTGCCTGAAAAATAATGAAATAAAACGTTTTTTGTTTTTTGTTTTTTTTAAAAAAAAAAACCTAAATTGTACCTTTGCAAATGTCACAAATACTGTTGTTACAAGACTCTGAAAGTAAAGGAATCCATTGTGTTTTTTAACTAGAGACAATAAAAATGGACAAGAATAATCTGGGTGTTTTTTTTTTTTTCCATTAATACAAGTCAGAACTTTATAACTCCAGATCTTACATAATAAAAGCAAAATTTGTTTTCAAATTAAATTTTGACTCTGTACTTTTCAAAATAAATCTAAAATCTTTCAATTGAGACTGAATATTAAGTACATTATTAGATTTAAAGCATACATAAAAAATTGTGGTCCAGATTTAATGTGTATAACACTTCAAAATATAAAATATTTATAGTCACATGGAAAAAATGTGCTACTCACTAGAAACATGAGAAACATGTAAAAAAGTAAAACCAAAAAGAGGCAGGATATACAGTTCAGTAGTAGAGCATTTGCCTAGAATGTATAAGGTCCTGGCTCAATCCCCAATACCACCAAAAAACACACAAAAAAAGGAAAACTGAGTTATTTGTCCACATTTTAAAGATTATTAAGGGCTGGTGAGTAACTCAGTGGTAGAATACATGCACAGGCCATGGGTGGGGAGGAGGGTACTATAAATGTCACCTGCATGCTTAGTCTACATTAATTTAATTAAAAGAAAATATGTCTGAACCACAAAAAGACTAATTTACTTACAAAGTAAATGTAGTAGTGAATGTCAGAGCATCGCCATTAAGAGAGTTTGAAGTACTTGCTAATGGTGTGGCTACCATATTTTCAGCTCCTGCTTTTAGCATAATTAAGTAATAGTAATTTGCTGCATCTGTAAGAAATAACACATTACATAATTAGCACAAGTAATATCAGATTTAGTTAACTGGCATTCTGGAAGACCAAAGTAATAAAGTCATATGGCAACTGACTTACATAAAGTTTGCATTTAAAATCAATAAAAATTAATTTTCAGAAACAAAAAGTAAGATATAATCTGACAGCTATAATCTTGGAATAAATATCATCAAGGTCTCTTCCAATTATGTAAGTTGAAATAACTTTACTCCACATTACTCAATTTTTTCTTACTCTGAATTTTACTTAATGACCCCTAATTCTTTTGCTAATACTATATACCTCCAAAGGATAAATTATGGTTTTTTATTTCAAAACTGGAATTAAAATAATATGAAAGTTACACTGTGACAAATTCTAATAAAAACCTGAACTATTATTTCACTATTTATCATTAAATAATCACATATGTCAAGATCCATACTAAATTATCAGTTGTTTTTTGTCCACAATATATCAAAATCAGAAAACTACAACAATTAGAACTGAAATTAGCTCATTCCTACAATAATACTCACACTTTTATTTTACTCTCCAAATACCTCAAATTCACTTCTCACCTATGGCTAGTCTTCTGTTTCCTCAAAGAGAAAAGTTCTACACACATTAAAATTTAAAAGAACCTTAAAAATGATGTTTATCCAACATTTAATAAAATTTTAAGCTTACTATACTTATACATCTCTCTTTTCAGATTCTACTGTCATATTGCCCTGGTATCCACTTGGCTCAGAAAAAAATTTTACTAGAATACATATTTTTTAAAGTTTATAGTGATTATTCAATCCAGAGGGCAAAGGAAATATTTCAATAGAAGAATCTCCACTGAGGCACTCATGACCCACATAATAGTAATTCAGAATTTATAAAACAATGAAGTGAATTTAAAATAGAATACGGTAAGCAAAATAAGTTCTTTGAAATGTTCCAGTACATTTCTACAATAAAATTAATTAATAAAAGTCAAATGGTCTGCTCTGTCATCTTCAGAAAATATTTTACGTCTAAATTTACATTTAGCCTTACTTATAAATAGGCCTATATCCATTATTGTACAGACTGGCAACCTCAGTTATCAAATATTCCCTTATTTTTTTATACACATAACCTTTTAAAAAAAAAACTTTCCAGAATCAATTTTAGTGTTTAAATCACAACACATAATTTTCTAAAAATAAATTTTGAAGGCATATGATAATCATTTAATCTCTTTGCTCTTGTTAGATACACAAAACAGTAGAGTGTATTTTGACATTCTAATTAGGATCCATTCTTGTGGTTGAACATATGTGGAGTTTCACTGGTTGTATATTCATACATGAACATAGGAAAGTTATGTTCAATTCATTCTTATACATACATGTTGATAAAAGAATCTTTGAGGTTCAAAAAACAAGCTTTGCTTCTTTATACATGTGCTACTTGTACCTTATACAAATTCAATCTAAGTGAAGTTCATAATTTAACATGCTGTTGTTAATGGGAAAAAAAAAAAAATCACAATACCTGGCTTCTGAGCTGTACTGCACACAAAATCTGCTTTTAGAGGCAAGCGGATCTCTGACAAAGTAACTGATCCTTTGGATGGGACAAATTCACTCTGGAATATGGAATCAGCCTTATTCTTCCTCTGAGGCCCTTCATTCTTCAGTTTATTCAGCTGATCAATCAAAAGCGTTCTCTTCTCAGCTAAGTAAAAATAGCAAGTGAATATCCCAATTCAAGAAAACACACTGATGTGGCAATTGTACATAAGACCAGCGATAAAATCAATAACTCTTTTGTGATAAATGTTTGGTAAAATCTCAATTGTTCATCTATTTTACCAAGTCTTAATTTAATTCTTCAACTTTTGACCATCTTTCTGGTGTGGTATCATCTTTCCAATCGAACACACTTTGTCATTATCACAAACATACACAGAGAGAGATGGACACATAATATGTGTATATATACCACACACACACACACACACACACACACACACACACATTTAGGATATTCTAATTCCAGTTACCTTTATCTTTCATGCAAATTTCATTTTATTTTATATGGAAAATAAAACTTTATAAGAAACAAATAACAGATCAAATGAAACAGCTGGGTGTAGTGGTATATGACTGTAATTCAAACAACTTGAGAGGCTAAGGCAGGAGGATCACAAATTTGAGGCCAGCCTCAGCAATTTAGCAAGACCCTAATAAGCAACTTAGTGAGAGTCTGTCTCAAAATAAAAATATAAAAGGCTGGGGATACAGCTCAGTGACAAAGTGCCTCTGGGTTCAATCCCCAATACCAATAAAAAAGAGAAAAGAAAGTCTTTTCTTTAAAATTAGAGATTTCTTAAGTCAAACTCAGAAAGTTAAGGGTACTGTGTTTTCTCTCATATGAAGAAGCCTATAAGGAAAAAAGGAAATGAAGATGGGGAAGACCCCATGAAAATGAAAGGGAGCATAGTAGAGAAAAGGGACCAAGGGGTAGAAGGAGGGGAGACAAAGGGGCTAAGTACTGTGAAGTGATAGTAGCCAAATTATATTGTTAAATTGTATATTGTATGAATATGTAAAAACAAATTCCATCAATATGTACAACTATAATGTACCAATTTAAAAAATGGGGAAAAAATTAGAGATTTCTGAATATACCAGAGGAAATAAGTTTTCCGTGATTAGTGACATTTTTTTAATTTTTCAGGTATATCACACATACTTGCAATTAAAAGAAGTCTTTCTGCTTCAGCTTCTTCTAGGGACCCTTTCCCATGCTCTTCATCAACACAACAGTTAAGAGCCTGGCTAGCTTGATAGATCACTGTCTGCTGCAAATTTATTTCATTATTGAGTTCCTAGAGAAACATAAATGAGAGGAGGGAAAAGTACACATTTTAATCATCATTTTCAGTTTATTTAAGCTTGAATTCTAACTAACGTAATTGGGTAGTTTCCAAATTTTTCAAAGAGTAAAATCAAAAGGTTAGTTTCACTGCTCAGGTTTCTAGACTATGTACCAAAACCATTTAATAAATAAATTAAACTATAAACACTTTTTCCAGTAAAAGACTCTATCCAACAAGGTAGAAATGAAGAAAATATTTTCTTAACATAAAAAGAATACTTGAGGCACCAAATAAATCTCAAACTTTACCATCATCCAATTAATAGCTATAATTTAAAGATATTTGTAACCAACATGTTTTAAAAGAAAATTTCAGAGTTGGAATGTAGCACAGTGGGAGAATACTTCCTCTATTCATGAAGCCTTGGGTTTAATCCCTAGCACTGCAAAAAATAAAAATTAATAAATATTTCAGCAATATGAAACAAGCTTCTGACTTTTCCAAAAAGAGTATCTTTGGAAAATTAAACCAAATTCAAGAGAGATTTACTTAGCTACTGTGTCAGATACTCTTCTATTCATTTAAGGTATAGAAAGGAAGAAAACTGGGCCACTGACCTCAAAGAATTCACAATCTAGTGCGAGAAACATCCTAAATCCCCTTTCTCTGGACGTGCATACCTGCATTTTCTGTTTGATATTAACTTGACCTGAAAAGGCATTCTTTTTTTCATCTAATTTTGAAGTAACATCTTCTTTCCGAACAATCACTTGCTTTATGGAAGGACGGTCTGTTTCTTTGAATCTTTGAGACCTATATGCATCAATGCTTCAGGAAAAGTTAGACTCTGTTAGAAATCCAGCAACACACTGAGCTTTATCCATTACTGAACATGTCAACAGAATTTGATAAAATTAAACATATCAGCAGAACATTTCACCACCATGGAAATGCCATTTGGTGAATGAGACTGAAAAGTTATTCCAAATTTTTATACAGGTAAGTTATTAATAACATTATAAATATAAATGGTAATACAACTTATGTATTGTATCTAAACCGTGAACTTGAGTGAACCAATACCTTCCCCAAATCACCTTACCTATAAAGAAGATCACGATCTTCAGAACCAATGCTATCACCAGATTCAGCTCGAGGAACACGGGTTCTCTGGAACTTTCCTGGTTTTGGACTCTCATCGCTTGTATGAGTATCTCTCAATTCCAATTTAGGTGAGGAAACTAAATTCTGCAGGAAAGCACATCAGATATGGGTAGATTTTATGGATGATTAACACTGATTCTAAATGATAATTCATTTAATTCTAAAAAGAATGAATTCTTCATTATTAGGAAATAAATATTCAACAAGTCAACTGACTCACTGTAAAACCAAAGGACTTTGAAAATAAATTCCTAAAAAGAAAATGAATAATGGCTCAAAGATAAGTGAAACCTACATTGGTAACTTTTTAAAAAAATATGTCAATCAATGTCCACAGCTGCAGTTATCCAATTTAGGGTGACAGCTAATGATAGTAATTAGCTCTCAATGAATGTTAGTTATGTCTGGTGCTAAACACTAATATATTAACATAATTTAATATTCACATCAACCCTCTGATATAAGTACTATTGTAAACCTCATTTAATGAATGAGGGAACTATTTGAAGAGAGGTTAAGTAACAATAAATGTCAGAGCCAAGATTTATAACCAATGTCTGCCCTTGTAAGCCATATTACTATTTGGAGATTAAGAAAAACAGCAAAATACTGAAGAGTTTTAATCTCTTCAGAGAATGTTCATTAGTTTTACAAAATCTCCTTAACTACAAAGTGCCAAATCCCCAATAAAGCAGGATGGGAGGATCTAATATTAACTCATTTATTTTTGTCATGGGCCTGTTTACATTTAGTCTTTTCTTACCTCTGGACTTACCACACCAACTGTCTGTGCTAACGGAGCAAGTAAGGACATTGAGGAGATATTCAATGCATCTTCCTGCTCTTCATTGCTTTCTGCTTCTGCTTGATCCATCTCCTCTTGACTCTTTTCCATATCTAGCTCACCTTCTTCAAGGACATCACTGAAGATATCATTAATTACTTTTGAACTGTTGATATCATCCTCATCATCCACACTCAACTCAATTTCACGTACCACTTCTGAAAAATATGAGTGGATTCCATTTAAGGCTTTAAGAAGAGAAAGCAAAGGAGATCTAACATTCATGTGCTTACTAAATAAACACGACAAAAAAATGCTGAGGAAAAGCACTTCTCATTTCAACAAAATACTACTAACAAATGAAACAAAGAAATTTTTCTAAGTTCAAATAACATTTTCTAAGAAATGAAGGTTGAGTCCATCAAAAGCTGATTCAATGCCTTGGATTTAGTAGAGAATATTAAATTTAAGAACTCAAATTATAGGATAATATACAAAAGATTCAGACTTTCAAAACATGTTCTTTCAAATGACTTTTTTCATATTGGTGCGGGTTGCTTTTTCACCTGGGTGACAAAAATAGGCAAACACTGATGTCACATAGGGCAGTTCTAAAATAAGCCTTCGGGGCCACTAAACTCCCTAATAGCACCTGCAGAATATGGCAGTCCCATTCCCTATGAAAGTGAATGGCAGTCCTAAACAGATTTTCACAGGGGTGAAACAATTACCTAACAATTACTGCTAATAATACCACAGAGATTTTTGTGGAAGCTAGATATATCCTAGTTTAAAAAAAAAAAAAAAGAATATTATAAAATCACATTTTTAAAATACAGGACACTGTATATTTGAATATGTAATTCTAATATATTAATTTTTATAATGTGGCCAAAGTTATAAGAAATAAAGAATAGTGGTACATATACACAGTGGAATATTATTCAGCTATAAATAAGAATGAAATTATGGCAAAGGTTGAATGTTCCCTCTGACATGCAGATGCTGACTCACAATAGGCTAGGGGGTGGGAGGTAGAGGTTCACCAGATTGGACAGGGAGGAATAGAGTAAAGGGAGGGAGATGGGAATGGCAAAGACAATAGAATGAATCAGACATAATTTTCCTACATTCATATATGAATACACAACCAGTGTAACTCTACAACATGTACAACCACAAGAAAGGGAAGTTATACTCCATGCATGTATGATATGTCAAAATACACTCTACTGTCATGTGTAACTAAAAAGAACAAATAAAAAATTAAAGTTAAAAAAAAAAAAATGAAGAATAAAAACCAACCAGTCTGCTGTTCAACCTTTGGGTTTGATGTTGTTACTTTTAAGGACTTTTCCTCTTCTAAAAACAATGTTATTTTCAAAGGACTAGACTTCGTCATTTTGCACTCGGTAGAACCTAAAACAATTTTTGAGAAAGACTGCATTAAAAGACATAACAACCTAGAATTTTTAAATTAAGGAATCATCTTTTTATTATAAAACTATGCCTTTAAGATATTCAAATGTAGAAATATGGAGAGAACCTTCTAAATATACCTGTCCTCACTTGACTTTCCTATCTCTTCCTCGCCACTGAGATAAAGAAAGGGGACACCAATATTACCAGGTTATTGTTTTTTTCATTCAGTTTTCCCTGTATGTAGAAATGTGCATATCTTTTATTTTATTTTATTTTATCAGAAGGTGATCATACTATACTGTTTTGCAATTTTTCACCTTTTAAAAAAGTGTCAATAAAATCACTCAAAAACTAGGACTAGAAGAAATCTACTTGCTTCATAATAAAGTCCACAGCTTTATTACAACTTTATTTACAGGCAAACACCTGTAAACCCAAAGACTCAGGAAGCTGAGGCAGGAAGATCTTGAGTTCAAAGATAGTCCTCAGCTACTTAGCAAGGACCTAAGCAACTCAGTTAGACCCTGTCTCTAAATAAAATATAAAAAAAAGGCTGGGGATGTGGCTCAGTGGTTAAGCACCTCTGGGTTCAATACCTCACCAGTACAGGAAAAAAAAAAAAAAAAGGTCCTCAGTCAAAATTATACTCAATACTCAATAGTCCTCTAAGATTAGCAACAAGGCAAAGATGACTGCTGTCACTACTTCTATTCAACAGAGCATTGAACATTCTAGCCAAAGCAATTAGGTAAGAAAAAGAAAATTATATGCATCCATATTACAAAGAAGTAAAATTATCTCTGTTCACAAATGATAGCATCTAATATATTGAAAATCCTAAAGATTCTATCACACCAAAATAAAAAGAAAAAACTGTTAGAACTAATAAGTGAAGCAAAGTCACAGGATACAAAATCAATGCATAAAAATCAGTTGAGTATGTATACAGAAACAGTGAAAAATCCGAAAAGGAAATTTTGAAAACAAATCCATTTACAATTATGCCAAAAAAGAATAAAATGCTTAGAAACAAATCTAACCAAGTTGTTGAAAGGCTTATACTCTGAAAATATAAAACATTGCTTAAAAAGAATTTAAGGAAGACACAAATAAAAGGAAAGACACCCATGTTCATGGATTAGAAGATTTAATACTGTTACTATGTCAGCATTATCCAAGTAACCTATAGATTCAATGCAATTCCCATCAAACCCTAATTAGCATATTTTTCAGATATTAAAAAAAAAAGCTATATCCTAAAATTCATAAGGAATCTAAAGGGAACTGAATATCCAAAATATTTTTTAAAAAGAACAGAGCTAGAGGATTCATACTTCTTGATTAAAAATTTATTATAAATCTACAATAACCAATGCCCTATGGTACTGGCACAAAGACAAACATACAGATCAACAGAACAGAATAGGTGGCTGAAGTTGTACCTCAGTGGTAGAGTGCTTGTCTAGCACATATGAGGCACTGGGTTCAATCCTCAGCACCATAAAATAAATAAGTAAAGGTATTGTGTCCATCAACAACTAAAAAAAAAAAAAAATTAAAAAAAAATAGAACAGACTAGAGAACACAGAAATGAAACTTCATATATATGATCAAATGATTTTCAAAAAGGGCATCAAGAGAATTCAAAAGGAAAAGAAGAGTTTCTTCAAGAAATGATGCTAGGAAAATTGGATATACACATGCAATACAATGAAGTTAGACTCTTACAACACACTTAAAAATTAACTCCAAATAGATTAAAGACTCAATGTAAGACACAAAAGTATAAAATTTATAAAAAGAAAACAGGAAAAAAGCTTTACAACATTGGATTTTACAATATTTTCTTGAACATAAACCCAAAAGAAGACAATAGCAACCCTCCCCCCCCAAAATCAGATAGATTGCATCAAACTTAGAAACTTTTGTGTGTCAAAAAATATAATCAACAGATGCAAAAGGCAACCTATGGATTAGCAGGAAATATTTACAAATTATATATCTGAGGAAGGGGTTAATATTCAGAATGTATAAATAACTTCTATAACTCAATAACAATATATCAAAGGATTATAAAATAAGAAAAGGATTTGCATTACATATCTCCAGAGATTAATTCAATTGCTCAAAATTGAATGGAAAGATGTTAAATATCACTATTCAGAGAAATACAAATAATAACCACAATGACATATCACCCATATCATCATTAAGATGACTATTATTAAAAGAAAAAAGAAAAGAAAGGAAAAATACTTCAAAATAGAAAATAACAAAGCATTGGTAAGAAGTGGAATAACTGAAGACCTTGGGCGCTCTTGGTGGGAATATAAAATGGTGCCACTGCTATGGAAACAATATGGTGATTCAAGATCAGTCTCTGCAACTTGGTGAGGCCCATAGCAACTTAGTGAGACCCTGCCTTCAAATTTTTTTTTTAATATTTATTTTTAGGTGTAGATGGACACAACACAATGCCTTTATTTTTAAGTGGTGCTGAGGATCAAACCCGGGTCCCGCACGCGCTAGGTGAGTGCTCTACCGCTGAGCCACAATCCCAGCCCCAGCTGCCTTCAAATTTAACAAAAAATAAAAAAGCCTGGGGATATAGCTCAGTGGAAAAGTGCCTGGGGTCAATCCCCAGTACCAAAAAAAAAAAAAAAAAAAAAAAAGCCAAATGTCTTCTTTGGTATAAGGAGAACAACTAAGAACAGAGCAGGGAGGAAGAGCATGAGAAGAAGATTAACATTAAACAGGGATGAGAGGTGGGAGGGAAAGGGAGAGAGAAGGGAAATTGCATGGAAATGGAAGGAGACCCTCACTGTTATACAGAATTACATATAAGAGGAAGTGAGGGGAAAGGGAAAAAAAAAAACTAGGGGGAGAAATGAATTACAGTAGATGGGGTAGAGAGAGAAGATGGGAGGGAAGGGGAGGGGAGGGGGGATAGTAGAGGACAGAAAAGGCAACAGAACACAACAGACACTCGTATGGCAGTATGCAAAAAAGTGGATGTGTAACCGATGTGATTCTGCAATCTGTATACGGGGTAAAAATGGGAGTTCATAACCCACTTGAATCAAATGTATGAAATATGATATGTCAAGAACTATGTAATGTTTTGAACAACTAATAATTAAAATAAAAAAAAATAAAAAATAAACAGTGCTATCTCTTTGTACATATAGCTCTGCCTCCTAACTAGTTCAGGATTTAATCTCCCAGAAACACTTGCAGAAAAGCTGAATTAAAGAGCAATTCAATATGTATTATTGAATGTTTCTCCCAAAAAAGTTGTAGAAATAACACTCTCATCAACAGTATATGAGTTCTTAATCTAGAAAGAGAACTAAAGGGGAAATCCACTGAATGCTTAGAAATGAAAAAGTAAGTGAAAAGGAAGAAATGAATATCTTTAAAAAAGCAACACTTTTGCTTTCTAATCCAATTGCCAAATCAATGGTAGACTGGAAGATACATTTTAAATGAATTAGAAATGAAAAAACTGACCTGTAGGTTCTGTAGTAGAGGTTTTTGCTGGTATCTGATTTTCTGTCACCTTGTCTGGAAGTGAGTGGGTATTTGAGACTACTTGTTTCTTGAGGGGAGTGTTCTGACAGTGAATTTCCTGCAAAAATCAAATAAAGAGGAATATTTTATTTTTCAAAACTGTAATTTTATCTTTTATAAAGTGTAATTGTATATTTTTATAAAATCTTATAAAATTATTAAATGAAATAAGACTATTATTAAATATTATTCTATATGTTACCTCAGAATAAAAAAGACAATGTATATAAAAAGGTCCAGATTAGCTCAAGTCCTCAGTGCTAGTTTAAATTCTTGTTAATTCCCAGTATATAAATCTTTTTTAGAGACTAGGAGGCAAGAGGGAATTACAATTTGCATCAGAGTTCAGTTTTACATAGAAATTAAAGTGCAAACCATGCAAAAGGATAAACAATTCCCACTATGTCACTTATCTCAATCCATACCTAAAATATCTGGTGGCGGTTCCTATATCAGGATTCCACTTAACAGTTACTCAAGAAGGTAAAATTCAGAGAAAGCAGAAAGGACAAAAACATATCACAAAGTAAAAGGAGAGAAGAAAAAAAAACAAAAAAAAAAAAACCCTGCATCTGAGTCTTTTTATCATGAACAAAGTCATAGAAGATAAATATTCATTTTTTGTTTGTTTGAAGACTTTCCAATTAAAGCAATAACAGAAACAACCAAATATTGCCTTGCCCGATTCTCCCAATAACCCTCGTAGCTATGTCCTATTATCTCCATTTTATAAGTGAAAAAACCTTAGGCACATAAGAGTTAAGTAACTTTCACACACAGTGACTAGCAGTGCCAGTGCCCAAACTCAAGTATCCTTGTTCAGAGCTACTTATATAGTTCAGAGCAGACTATATTTGTTCTGTATATTAGAAGTTTTGGATGTACAAAAACAAAGTAAATTCTCAAATATATATTGCAGACTGTTTTAACCACAGACAAGGAGTCTGACAAGGGGAAAACAGAGATAGGGCAAGAACATTTCAGAAGTGAGATGAATGGGCTGAGACTACCTTTAGAGTAAAAAGCTTATATACAGTAAACACTCAAACATTTATGGAGTAAATGAATAAACCAACCACTATGGTAATAATGGAAAGCAACCATACTAATTCTCAAAGGCTTAAGTAAAAGCTTTAAAAACATAAAGCCAAACATAATCACTATACCCCTCTTCCCTTTATGGTGGCTCACTGCCTGACAATAAACACAGCACTTAGAGTGCAAGGTTCTGGGGTCAGGTCTTGTTAGAAACCCTGGTGTCAGTACTTAACAGTGGAACCATTCTTGGACAAATGATTTACTTACCTCAACTTTAGTCCCTTACCCAGAAGAAGGAAAATAACTTCAGTATTATTGTGAGGATTCAATGATACAATGTAATAAAGGTATCCAAACATCTGGCATCTTGTAAGCATTTAATAAATATTAACTATTGCAATAATCTTATCACCTTCATCTTCTTCTCTTCTTTATGTCACCTGTATACTGTTCTGGACTTTGTTTGCAAGTCAAACTCTGCCTGCATGGCCCTCTTCAAAAACCTTTTAGCATATCCAAACAATCCTCTTTCGTAACAAACACCCTAAATCTTTATCTCCTTCACTAAATATTCCCTCCACTTTCATTCTAATTAAAAAAAAAAAAAAAAACTTAACTCTCTGGTAAAAACAGGACTTAACCTACAACATCTGAAATAAAAGTAGTTCTCTCCCCTAAACCCTGACAACATGACAATAGCCTCCTCATTAATTCTTAATGTTTCCATGATATTACCTCTTTTTTAAGTTGCTTTTTTTAGGGGCTTGGGGTTGGGGGGATTGAACCCAGGAGTACTTTACCACTGAGCTACATCCCCCAATTCCTTTTATTGTTTTTATTTTGTGACAAGATTTTGCTAAGCTACTGAGACTGGCCTTGAACTTGCCATCTTCCTGCCTCAGCCTTTTGAGTCACTGAGATTGCAGGTATGCACCACTGTGTCCAGCTTTAACCCTTTTAAAGCTCTTATTCTTTGAGACTAGCCATTTGGTTATAGTGTACTCTCCAGCCTCTCAATCCCAACTCATTAGTATCAGTTAATACAAGAATCTCTCCCCCGCATTCTCCAACACATCTCTAGTTCAAAACCTGCCATCATCAAGATGACATCAGAAGCCACAGGGCTATCCAAACAATAAATACCTCAGCCTCTCAACTGCATGAACACTTTAACTCCAGATACTTTTACTATTGCTCTAATGCCATCACCTGAAATCTATTTGTGCTTCTCTGAAATCCCAAACCCAAATATCTCACCATAACCACATCGCCAACCTCTCTAGTCCTCTTGCTTAGGAATTATAAGATCCCATTCTTTGGTGTCATAGATACCTCTGGTTATTTGATGCTTTTCTTCCTTTCATCTCTACCTAATTTCTTATACCTTCATCCAGGATAGATCTAATGACCCTTCATTGAAACTATTATCCTACCAGTATATTCAATTTCCTTAACTTAAGCATACTTCCATTCCTCTTGTCTGATAATATCCCAATCCTGGAACAACCCAACTTCTCTAAATCTCTATCTAGGCTCTTTTGACATACCTAGAGAAAATTCACCTATGGAGTTTTTGGTTCCACTATAAATTTATAGTCTCAAACTGGGCGTAGTGGCACATGCCTGTAATCCCAATGACTTTGGAGGCTGAGGCAGGAGGATCACAAGTTCAAAGCCAGCCAGCAACTTAGTGAGGCCCTGAGCAACTTAGCAAGACTGCTTCAAGATAATAAACAAAAAGGGTATGGATGTGATTCAGTGCTTAATCACCCTGGGTTTAATCCCTGGTAAAAATAAAATAAAATAATAAATAAATTTATGTTCTCACATCACATCTAAGTACTCCCTATTTTTTGTTTCTCCGTTAGCCCTCTCTTCCACCATCCTGTAAGTACTACACCTATTACCTTTCCTTCCTATACTTGATCTTAGCAAAAGGCTGGGAAGTGGTCACCTTCTTTTTCTTAACAATGAACAAAATAGGCACTATCATACAGATAGTCCATCAGTTTTCTGCCATCATGATCCTAAGACCACCAGTACCTGGAGTTTCACCACTTCTTTATGTATGTATGCATGTATGTATTTTTGTAATGCTGAGGATTGAACCCAGAACCTCACACACGCTAGGCAAAAACTCTACCACTGAGCTATACCCTGCAGCCCCACCCATTTCCTTTTTATCACACAAGATTGTTCAAATTGGTTCTGTTCCCATCACTGTGCTCCAAGTTCATTCAAAGTCACCTCTCTCCCTTCAATCTTCTTAACTTCTCTAACTTTTTGCTTGCTACTAGGTATTTTACATTGACACAAAAATTGACTTGAGTCTCAAAAAGCCAGAAAACAAACACAAACTGTACCTTGCTTCTTCCTCCTCTCCAGCACCAACTGCCTTCTCTCTCCCCTTTAGAACCAAACTGCTAAGAACTGCCTACACTCACTGGTTCTACTCTTCACCTCCTCGGTTCTCCTCAATCTATTACTACGGCATTTTTCACCACTTCACCAAAACTGCTCCAACCACATCACAACAAACTTACTTCAAACCCCAGTAAACTTGATTCAACCCACACTTGACAATACTGACCACGCCTTCCCTCCCCAAGCTTTCCTTCTTCATTTGACTTTAACACTGTACTCAATTACATTTTCCTCCTATCTCTTTGCTGCTTCTTTTGTGGAAAGGAGAGCCCTGAACTCCCTATTACTATGTTCAGAATTTTGTTCACCTATATATGCCACTGTCTGGGGAGGAATTTCACAGGCTTAATGGAATTATGTAGTACAAAATAGTTAAGAGCCATTGCCCTATACTCTCCAAAGAACGGGAGGAAAACCAAGAGAATATACATAATGGCAGGTCTTCAAAGAAAAGATAATCAAAAATGTCAAATGCCAATAGGTCAAGCCAGAAAAAAGTGGGGACTGAAAGTGATCACTGAAGATCACAAATGGGGAGGGGATAGTGGCAAGAGCCTAAGTGGAGAGACCTTAAGTCAGGAGAGAAGAAAAAAATTGGAGACAGTACTCTGTGAATAGTTTGCATCCAAAGGAGGCAAAATAGTGAGGAGCATAGAGGACCTGGAGAGGTGTTGTAAGATAACAGCAGCCCATTGTATGCTGGTGGCAAGGATCAGCACATTCTTTCCTTCCTTCCTTCCAATTCAAACTTATGGCACTCCTACTCTCTGCTTATTCCTACTCCAGACAGAAAGAACAGGAAGATAAAGGTAGAGAGAGATCTGAAAAATTGGGTACATTTGAAAAACTGCAAATACTCTGTATGACAGGGCTGAAGCACATCTCTGGAAGAGTAGGAGAAAGAGTCCAGCAAGAAGTGACACATTTCAAACCAAGCTGTTCACGCATTTTTCTCATGATATTTATGGGGAGCTTCCCCAAATTTTAAGCAAGGGAATACATGAATATTTGCCTTTAAAAAATATTTCTCTGGCAGCCATGAGGAAGAAGGATTAGAGAGTAGCCAAATTAGAAACAGGGTGTCCAATACAAAGCTTATAACTGGACATATGTGTTTATGTGCATGTGCAATAAGGGCAAGCAGATGGGAAGGCACAAATAAAAAAGGGGAAGAAGCCAAAGATCTTCTAGATTTATTTTTTACATGATGAAATATAGAATAAAACAATAAGAAGACAAAGACTACCAGGAAAAGGTTTTGCAAAGAATTACTAGACATCAAGCCTAGAGTTCAGGAGTGAGATAAGCATATAACAAAGCTGAGCTCATCAGCATTTTTGCCTTTGGCTGAATTTAGATGGGACAGGGACTTCCCAGGGCAAATAAGAGGGGGAAAAGAGGTTGAGGTCAAAACTCTGGGAAGGTCACTTATTAAGCAAGAAAACTGATAAAAAAACAAAATCAAGCAGGTAGACCTTTCTCAAAGAATGCTGATTACATTTGTACTTCGTTTGTCCCTACCATGTTTCTACTAGCTCAAAATATATTCTAACACAATACCTTGTACATAGTAGGCATGTAAATAAAATAGAATATAGTCTAAATTTAAGTCAGCTTTTGTTGAAGACTGAAATTTGATAAGAATAAAGAAAAATTGGGAAGGTATGTGTTAACAGAAAGAATTACAGATCATATAACTATGGTATTTTGAGAAAGGTAAATAGTCATCAATGACAAAAGTAGATTCTGGAAAACATTTTGGAACCAGCATCTCAGGAGAATTAACTATCTAAAATTGAATGGTGAAAATAATTTTTTATTTGATTTTAAGGTCATCAGTGAATATGGTAGAGTTCCCCTGAAAGAGAAAATATCGTAAGAAAAGTAAAGTTGTTATGTACATTTAAGCGGTTTATGAAAGGAAAGTGTCTAAGCGGTTTATGAAAGGAAGGTGTCACACTTAATTGAACAGGAAAATGTGTAAAAAATTTTGTTCTACAATACAGAACTACAAATTAGATACCAACACTACTTTGGTACCAAGTTCGCTTTTATCTTTTGTTTACAATACCTGCTTTGTTTCTAGTTGTTTGCTCCTCGAGTTTTCGCCTTTTTCTGTACTCCATAAATTGCCCTTGTCAAATCGGCCACGAAGACATGCTAGTTCCTTTTCACGTTCCTAAACCCATCAAAAGTAGTATTTTACACAAGAGCCAGTTTAAAAATTTTAAAGTTCACATTGCAAATAGAATAGACAAAACTTCCAATTTGCAAAACGTGGCACAGAAGATCAAGATGCTATTTATCTCAGGTAAAAAGACTGGTATCAGAATTCACATCTTGATTTCTAGGTTCCATGCTGAGACCATGCAATAAAAAACTTTAAATCCAACAAGCCATACCTGCTTGAGCTGTTGGGCTAAATGGGTAGTAGATGAACATGCGTTTTGCTTAAATAATCTTTCTTGAATGGCCTTTGTATTTGGAGTGATAACGTAAGTTCTCTGGGGTGTGCTATGAGAGGGACTTTCTTTGCTGTGTTCTTGACAACGCTCTCCAAAGCGTTCCAGAAAAGGCTTAATTCCTCTTCCTCCTACAGACAACATACACATTTTTGTAGGCTACTCAAAATAAGTCATAATTATAATTTCTATGGGAAAAGTTATAAATCCATTATAGTTACAATATGCTTTGATTCTATTAGGAACCTAAATTCACAAAGAAAATATTCACAGAATTACTATATAATTCTATTTAATTGCATGTCCTTAAATTAGAATTCAGTTCTTTAAAAGAGGAAAAAAAAACCCAAGAATTTTGGACTTGGGATATTACTCAGTAGAACACTAGCCTAATACAAACAAGGCCCTGGGTTCCATTCCCAGCACCACAAGAGGAAAAAAAAAAAAATTAAGAAGGTAGAGTAAAAGGGCAGTGAGGATTAGAAAACTCTCAAATGAAACAATAATAATTTAAGTGGTCAGAAGTAAACTACATATAAATTAATAAATCTCCCTTAAAAATAAGTGTCCTGACCATTATACAATAATAACTTCTAACTACTTACATTTCTAGAGTTCAATTTATTTTATATTTCTCTTACAAGTCTACTACATGAAAATCTGCAGTTCCCCCCCACCAACCAAAAGAAAAATTATGAATTATCCAACTCAACAAAGGGATGTCTTGATTTTACAAAGTCTTAAAACAGTACTTTTTTGAAAGAGTATGTTACATTTATAGTAGGGCAAATGATGTATATGTGACCTCCTCCATCATATAAAAATAAGCTTATTTATGTCAAAGGTTAGTAAATAATTTCCTATAAATCATCAGAGTAAATATTTAGGTTTTGTAGCCCAAGTGACCTCTATTGCAACTATATAATTCTTCATTATAGCATGAAAGCAACCACAGGAAAATCTGTTAACAAAAGGATGTGGCATTGTTCCAAGAAAACTTTCTTTGTTTTTTTTTTTCTAAAAAAAAGGGCAAAATTTGTCTGTTGTCATACTTTGAGGACTCCACCTGTCACTTATTACCACTTTGTACCATATCTCAAACTAGAGTCCATTATGAATACAAAGAAACACCTAAATTAAATATCTCTAAGGATCTGGTAATGTGATTCTGATTACACACAGTAACTAAGAATATGAAAAGAATGCTTCTTATCTAAGCCTGAAGTTTTAGGAAACTGGAATTAACTAGTCCTATTCCATGTGAAGATATTGCTTTCAATTCCTCTTTTTTTGGGAGTATGGGGCTGCTGGGGATTGAACCCAGGATCCTGTACATGCTAGGCAAGCACTCTACCTTTGAGCTATACCCTAACCCCTTATTTCTAATTTTCATTTTAGTCCATCTGGAAACTCGCTAATAATTTCTACTTACTCCATTCATCTTTCTGTCTACTTTCCCTTTAGGATAACTAGTTTCTGGGAAGATTTTATTTTTCAGATTAAAATAATCTTTCCAATGAAAAAAGAACATAGTTCAAAGTCAATACTATCACCATTTATTTGTGCCATATTGTTCAGTTGTGCATTTCTCAACCAACAATATGTGAATTGTGCCAGAAGATATATGTTTATCATAATAGAGCATTTCATGGAGTATCAGTTTACTATGGTAAGAAACACAAACTTCTATTTGCATGCATTCACACACAGTACACACATATGTAAAAATAACTGAGAGTGATGTCATTTGTATGCACACTCACTTCTCTGTTAGGGTGACTTCACAATGAAGGTTGAGAAGCACTGCTCTGCACACCTGGTTACAAGAATGTTTTTTCATTTTGCCCCTAAAATGTGGTTCCCAGTTACATATGCTTTTCTGCATCCAAATTAGTTTTAAAAGTCCAAATTAGTTTTAAAAGTATCTAACAGGATTATCCCAGGAAAAGCCTGTTTAAACTGTTAAAATGTAACAAGACAAAAACTATGACCAATTAATAGGCTAGTAATGAATAGTCATTCAATCAATTAAAGCTCAATAAGAAGTCTTAGAATGTTTGGGCACTTGCCATGGCAAATCAACATCTTATCACTCACAATTAGAAATATTCAAAATGCTGAGAACATATCTTAAATATAGTCAGCAGCAACTTTAGATTTTTTAAAAATACATAACCTGGTGTTGTAGATTTGTCTTTAGATTGAGACTGCAGACAAATTTCTGATTTTAGTTCTTCTTTGGATGGAACTCTCTGGGTTAAAGTTGGCTTCACAATTGATTTCGATACCTCTGTTTTCAGAGGACTAACAGAAGTTTTTTGAAGTAGCTCAGGATTTTGTACCTCACAATTTTTAGCACTGGTGATGGATGTAGAATATTTCGCTGGGGAACAAGTAGATTTCTGAAACATGATAACACTTAAAGTAAACAATAACATTCACAATATTTATAGATAGTCCTATAACAAAACAATTCAAATCCTATGGTAACCTCTATATAAGACTTACGAAAAAAAACTTCATGACCTCTGATGGTTCAAACTGGTTTGAAAAAAAAAAAAATCAACTTACAAAATGCTATTATTTAAATTATAATATGTAGCTTAGTCCACATATTATATGATAGGTGACTCCCTACTTTATAATTTTTTTCATTATTGTTACTAGTATCTTCATTAAATTCTTAACTATAGTAGATAAAATTATAGTTTTAATCTGTATTTTGATTAAGCTAATATCAATTCAACCAAATACAGGTTGAGTATCTCTCATCCAAAATGCTTGGGACAGAAGTGTTTCAAATTTTGGACTTTTTTCATATTTTGAAATATTTGTAATGAGGTATCTTGGCAGGTGTGACCCAAGTCTGAACATATATAGCTTAATGGCAGAGTGCTTGCCTAGCCCACATGAGGCCATGAATTCAATTCCCAGGACCAAAAAAAAAAAAAAAAAATCATTTAAATTTCATATACACCTAAATACATACCCTGCAAATAATTTTATATGACATTTTTAATAATTTTATGCCTAAAACAAGGTTTCTTGCTATGGAGTTTTCCACTTGTGGTATCATGTCAGTTTTCAGAAAGTTTCAGAATTGGGAGCATTTCAGATTTCAGATTTTTAGATTAGGAATGCTCAACCTATATGTACCTGATGGCTAACTATAAATAAATTATTCAATATTTATGATGTAGGGAGGCACTGTGCTAAGTGCTATGCATATTAATTTTTTCAGCCCTGCTAATACCCTTTTTCCCCCATTTTACATATAGAATAATAAGGCTTTGTAAAATTAAATAATCTGTGCAAAGCCACACTTCTAATTATTTGGGAAAACTGCGACTGAGTACAAGTCGAATTCCAAAAATTCTACACTAAAAGATAGTGGTCAAGAACATGACACTCTGCTTCTTTCTCACTTTTTTTAACATGGTTTTTTAAAACTTTCAAGATAATACACTTAAAGTAAAAAAGTTTCAGATATTTGAAAAGAACATACAATTAAAGTATCCCCCCAAAATAATACTATTTAGAAATTTGCCTTCCTGGAGGCAACTATAGCCACTAATTTATTATGTCTTTTAGAAATAGTCAATATCATCTAATTATTTGTATCTATATAGCATTCTAATGGAGGAATTAATTTTTAGAGCTTACCTTCCCTTTGATGACCAAGAGGCTCTGTCATATCATTATATACTTTGGATCTGCATTAACTAGTGTAATTTCAGTTGCAAAATGCTAATTTATCTTGGAATAGATTACCAAACTTATGATTTTCACTTTCTGTAAAACTAACATTCTAAAAAATATATAAATACATCGTGCATATACTATAATATAAATATCTATCTATATATATATCATGATTACTAGTCATAACAAAAAAGATTTTTAAAATCCAAAATGGTATTAACTCACCAAAGAGCTGGAAATTGAGGCTGTAGCCAAAGACTCATCAGCAGCACTAGAGGATGGGGCTTTATTCAAAGAGGCATCGCCATCGCTTTGGGAACAGCATGTAGCTTCCTGCTTAACACTGCTGCTATTGATCCTAGCAGATGCTTCACTTGCAGAGGAAAATTTGGATAAACAAGCAGTACCAGGCTGTTCTTGTACACTGTTTTGCTTTGCAGATGAGTAACTTACATCATCTTCCCAGGAGCAAATCGTTGCAGCAAGATTGGCCAGACGGCCCCTTCTCCCAAGTGGGGTTGCTGAAGTAGCTGAAAGGGGTGGTCTGGGAGGCGAGGCTGCCTTTTCCTCAGATGGCAATGATAAGAGTGCGCTTTCAGGTATATCATCTAAAGATATTTTCAAAAAAAGTTAAAACCATGTTTAAGAGTTATACTCATGTATAATAACAGGATCATTCCATACAGAATTTTTAAATGAGATTAATAGGTTTAAGAACCAGTAAAAGCTTTTGTATACATAAAATACCAAGATACTTAAATTTAATAATAGTTCTTCAAATCAAATGATACCTAATCTAAATTTAAAAAGAAAACATTGTTTAACACCAACTTTTTTCAATTTATTGATCTATTACAGATGCTAATATACCATCTATTTAGGTTATATTTTTGAAATTAATTAATGATATTATAACACCACACAATTTAAGATTAAATATCCCACAGGAACTTTTTGTTTTAAAAATAAATTAGTCCAGTGCCCTACAACAGAATTTTCTGACAATGAAGTTCTGTATCTATGCTCTTCAATACAGTATCCCTACTCACTCGTAGCCAATAAGTACTAGAACTCAGAAACTAAATTTTACTTTAAATAATTTAAATATAAATAGTTACATATACCTAAAGGCTACTATTTGGATAGCACAGAGTTAAAACAAATCAAATGTTTTCCTATAGTTAGTTCATTTGGAGATAAATCCCAAGTAGTGATGATTTAACTGATGAAGAATTTAGACCTATATGCATACAGAGTATGTACCCAGGGAGGCCAAAGGTCAAGCACTTCCTATTCCACAAATTCAATCAAAGAAAGAGGTACCCCTCTTTCTGTTTAAGGCTTCTACCCGTGCCTGCACTTTCAATTCTTCTCCCTCCAAAACCTTCTAAGGGATCTTGCTCCAAACAACCCTCTTCCTCTCTACAAACTTTTTTCTCTGAATATTAAATATACTCAAGTTTCTTTCATCTTAAAAATTAGTATCTTCTTATCAACATCCACACTCTTAATTCCACTGTTAGGTATAATTACAACGTACCTATAAAAATTTTTAAATAAAAAATTTAAAAACCATTTGTGTTCTTTAGCTACTATCTTCTTCCCTGTGCAATATTCAATCACCATTAAAATCACCTGCCTACACCACTGCCCTGAAGTTGGTTTTGCTACTGAAACTATATGCCAGTACACACTAGCATTGTATTCTTGACATCTCTAAAACATACCACTGGTATTATGTTATGGAATTATGAAATGGAATGTCTTTTTCATTTAAGACATCATCTCAGCTGGGCACAGTGGCAATCACATGTAATCCCAGTGGCTCAGGAGACTAAGGCAGGAGGATCATGAGTTCAAAGCCAGCCTCAGCAAAAGTGAGGTGCTAAGCAACGCAGTGAGACCCCGTCTCAAAATAAAATACAAAATAGGACTGGGGATGTAGATCAATGGTCGAGAGCCTCTGAATTCAATCTCCAGTAACTATCCCCACCCCCCAAAAAAGACATCATCTCTATGAGCTTTCTGTCTCCATAGTCTATCCATCATTGTCTTCCAACTGCCAGTTACCTCCATTTGGCTTTCCCACAGGCATCTCAAATAACATATCTAAAGTAGAAATCACCCCCAGTAAAATCCCCTTCCTCTCAGCAAATGACCTCACCAACTGCTCAGTCATTGAGACCAGAAATATCACCTCTCCTCCATCTAGTCATTAATTCCTATAGATTTTACCTCCTAATCTCTCAAATCCACTTTCTCCTTTTCACTTCCATGAGCCTTCAACATTGTACACCTAGATTATAGTATTAGCTTTTAACTCAACTTCCTGCTTTAAATCTCTGCCCTGCCCAATCTCTTCTCAATTTTGATACCAGAGTGATCTTTCTAAAACATCTGCCTGCTTTAAACTCTACTAGTACTTACCACCCCATCACCTCTAGTTAAACCAAACCAGGATCCTACTGCCTTTTTCAAATTTATCATTTGCTTTTCTACCACAGGAGTTGTGTACCACACACCAGCTCTTTACACAAAGTATATTCATACTATTTACTTCTGTGCTTTTTATATATTATTTTTTCTGCCTATATTATCTTATCTAAAACCAGCTGTCCTTCAACGTCTGTTTACCAGCTTTTGATTCCTCCAGAAAAGGTTTCCTGACTACACTTTCCCTGATACCCTTTTACATACTTCTGTCATTTTCCTTAGAGTAAGCACTGCCTTTAAGCAGATGACAGTTTTATTATATTGTTCTAGAAATGGACTTAATATATCTCTGGTTCTTCTAATTAATCTCTATCAGAAAGGCTTCAGATAAATTACATTTTAGTATAAATCCTCAAACTGATTTATACCCAGTCTTGTTTAGAATTTAATAAACTGTTTATTACAAATACTTGAGTCACAATTTTCATTTCTTTTTTGGGGGAGTATCAGGGATTGAACTCAGGGCACTCTCAACCACTGAGCCACATCGCTATTTTTATATATATATTTTTTAGACACAGTCTCACTGAGTTGCTTAGTGCCTCCCCATTGCTGAGGCTGGCTTTAAACTAGCAATCCTCCTGTCATTTCTTAAAATCAGAGAAGATCTGATGCCTTAATGAGATTTACTGTCAAGACTGAGCTAGGCATTTGCTAATATTTGCTTTCAAAATGTTCAAAAAATCACTGCAGTGATGCCTTATGCTCTCAAATTTATAGGACCCTGCTTTTTAATATTTTTTTTAGTTGTAGCTGGACACAATACCTTTATTTTATTGTTATGTGGTGCTGAGGATCAAACCCAGCGCCCTGTACATGCTAGGCGAGTGCTCTACTGCTGAGCCACAACCCCAGCCCCTCATTGTTTTTTGACCAAGTATAAAACCACAACCTTTTGCTGTTGTTTTTTCTTTAATTAAGAAAAATATACACTTTGCTACCCATGAATATTTCCAATAAAACAATAATGGAATGTTATCTGTTCAGGCACATTTACTCATTAAACTCCTCAAGCTTTATAACGAAACATGCTTATTAACCTCACCCACTGTCAAAATTAATAGGTAGATGATACCATAAACTATGTGAACTCTGTTATGTACCCAAAAAGCATCAGGGAGGTCAAAGCAATTGAAAATAGGAGCATTAGGGTCAAATCTTTGGAGATTGGATTTTAGCTTGCCAACCATGGCCATGGTTCTTGGCCTCTCTGAACCTGGTTTTCTCTTCTATAAAATAAAGATAATAGTAGTTATATATCTAATAAGATTGTTTTAAGAATTACATACTATTAGAACAAAAAATGTTTACAATATATTTATAATGCCTATCACATTAATGTCATAGCTGCTCTTGAGATTAAGATCATCACTGCCAGAACAGTAGTTGTAAAGTACCATCCAATTATTATCAAAATTCCAGTTAAAAGAATTCATTGTAATGGAAAAATGCCCAAAATATATGTAGTCCATCCATTTTTTCAGATCACTTGATCTAAATTCTGGCTATGTATCATAATTAAAGAACTTTTAAAAAAATAAAAAAGTATACCTAGGGCTCTACCACACTTTTAAGATTTTAATCCAACAGTCTAAGTGATTCTGAGACGCGTGGACCAGCTTGAGAACCACAACTTGAAGTATGCTTCCTTAGATAAGAAAGCACTGAGTAGTCTACCCAGATGATTCTATTTACCAGCACAGTGCTATTATCTAATACTACGCTGTCAACTTACAACGAACTATGTATCTGCACACAACTTCTCCCAGAACTGAGCTATTCCTGCACTGGCTACCTACCTGCACAGAGCTGTTTACCAGCACTTAAGCTGTCTACCTGCTTCTACCTGTACTCAGCAGTCTACCTGTACTACGATGGCTCACAACTAAACTGTTTGGAGCCAGGACATCTTCCTACCTTGAGAAGTTTTATAGGTTTACTTTAGGTATATCTTTACAAAGATGACACAAAGTCGTCTTTGAGGACACATGGGAAAAAGTTCTGTCATGTGTTATGGCCAAAGAAGGTTCTGCTTTTTGTTTATAAACATTCGGTCACTGATAGTGTTTTACCTCTTTGCATTGGCTGCTAGCAAAAGGAGAACCTGAGGGCCTGTATGTAGTAAACTAACTTCATCTTTCACTTCTATGTTCTTCCTTTGCATATTTTCTGTCAACCCTAATTTCCTTATTTTTCTTGTTACAATACAATACAAGTATTTTCATAAGTCATCCCAAGAATTTTGTTTGGAACAAGTCAGGAGACAAATAAAATTGATCACAGCTTGAATAACCCTGCTGTATAATTGTTGATTTATTTCTCAGGCATCTCATCTGATTATAGGTGCATGAAAGGCAAAAATTCCATCACTTCATCTCTTTTCTGCACTGTAGCATAAGAATTTGCTTTACAGATGCTTAATTTTTTTTTGACATTTTTCTCTCTCCTACTAAAAAGTATTACATAGCTTGGTACTTGAAGTATATTTAATTAGTGAATCCACGAAATAAGACTTCTTAAATACAGAGCTAAGAGTTAGCACTGCTAATAATACCTAGTCTAGTTTTTTCTCTACCAGTTTCATTGCAAATAGATGGTAATTCAGTTATACGCTCAATTTCTGTGAAATAGTCCAAGAACTTCTTCTGATCTACTTCAATAAGAACATAACCAACGTATACATATACTACAGGTATACAAACCACTGGCAAGCAAATGATACTCTTACGTATAGATTAAACAAAAACATTTATCTATAATGTGTTCATAACTAATAAAAATTTCAAAATGCTAAGTTGAATATTATTGAAAGAGAATTATGGACCAGGCCAGCCATATAACTTCTACCTGTCATATCATTATCCCAATGTCGCCGCTGCTCTGCGAGCTTTTGCATTCGTGTTTTAACTGAGGAGCCTGAGGTTGTGTCCAATCTTGACTTCAGCCCTCTCCCCACGCCCAGCAATGATGCTGGAACAGCCACAGAATCACTGACAATAGCTGATGCTTGTGGCTGCACCTGAGGAGATACAGGACTTGGAGAACAAGGTTTTATAGTCGCTGACTCAACTGGTTGTTTATTTTCCACATCAGAAACTTCTGCTTCAGTGCTGTCAGAACAACGTTTTTTTGATGGTGATGGCTTTGTACAAGATTTCACTACATTAAAAAGAATAAATAAAAAAAGACACTCAAAAATCTGTAATTTCTTATAGCATAAAAAACTTGAAGTAGGTATTTAACATTAATGAATCATTATGTTTCTCTAATATTTCCATTGTTTTTAATTACAAGAAAAATATGAAAACTATTCAGTAACTTAGAAATATGATATGAAGGACTTTAAGTGATCATGTAATTTTGGTTTAAAATTTCTACTGAAAAGAAATTTATTCTTAAGATACAAGCATAATACTTGACATAGTTAATGGAAATAAAAAGTTCATACTTGCAGTGTTCTAAGATATTAAAGATCACCATAATCTAATCATTTCATTTTTAGAGAAGATAAATCAAGCAGTTCTCGAGAAATTAAATTACCCAACTAAAGTTATACAGCTTAGATAAGGGTAAAAAACAGGTTTTCTGGTTTTTGAAACAATCTTTCATGGACATTTAACTGACAAGCAAGGGTAGAAGGGCTGGTCAGTTTTAGGAGGTTTAGGAAAAGCAGGGACCGAACAAGCAATACCAAACAAATTCTTAACATTTTACATTTTAAACTTCTATGAACACCCATAAAATAAAGTAAAAAGGCCCTAAAACAAAAAGGATGTATCTAAATATAAAGCATATTACTTCTATCCAGGAATGACTTTCAATATATCTCAGAAAAATTAATATTTTAAAAAGTAAAAATGTGAATTTCATATAAGGTGAGTTTCATTGGCTTTCTAACTTAAGTATTCTGTTCTGGCAGTGACCAAAGTACCATTATCAGGAAGTCATGACTGCCCTCATCAACACCAACTTAATCAAACACAGTAATGATACATTCTGGTCTTTGGTAACTCATTTATGGAACTACCTTCTAGGAATTCATCTAACAATTTTTTTAAAAAATGTTTCTATGTTAACATGCAACACTGCCTGAAAATATAGAATTCTGCAAGTTTATAGTAAATATTTCAATTTGAGTATCAAAATGAAGTTCCAAACACTAGTTTTCAAGTATATAGTACTCATTAGTATAAACTTGTGACACAGAAAAAAGGATCCTAGATTGGGCCAGGTCCCTGTGTTTCTGATTGAATACCAAATAATATGTAACATATTTACCTCCCTCTTTTCAGAATATAAAAATACATGAAAATAAATTATCCTTCTAAGATTAGTTTCCAAAATAACTAAGCCAGCCCCATAGCCTCTTCTCTGCTTTTTTTGTAACATTGTTTTTCCCTTGTAATGATCTTTTTATATGTATTTTAAAGTTGTACTAAGGAAGATTATCTTTAGACTTTTATGGAAAAGTCCATACTCAAGAAAAAAATTAAAACAGCTTGCTAATGCTATCTGAGTATTCAGAATTCAGTAAAGAATTGGTTAAGATTCCAGTTGAGTTTGGAATGGGGTGCTTGTGTGTTCTACCATGTCTAGAGATTAACAATCTAAATTTCAACCCAGTCCTAAAGAGTTGGTTCAGCAAACACAAGATGAAAAAAGGTTCATTAAACCTCAAGCATTTGTAAGCAGTCTGCCTTTTGCTGCCTTGTTCATATGAGACACCATCTAGGAAATGAGTGGTCAGCTACTCTGGGATTGTTGGGGTGAAAAATTCCACAGTACTGCCAATATAAAGTGTTACTCTGCTCCTTTATTTTTCTTCCCTTGGGGTTTTTAAGAATAACTGGAATTGAAGAAAACAAAGTTCAATTATTTTATTTGAAATATTTCTTAAACTCTACTCCAGCCTAAAAGGTTTTAGGCCCTCAGAGGCATATTTGTTTCCAAAAGATCTTGATTCTTTTGCATGTATAATGAAATTCACATATTATATCTTTCAAAAAATGGAAATTTTACTTCCCCCCATGCGAAGTCTTTTACCTTCACCACCAGATAGGGGCTGCTGGTTACTTGCTTCTGAAAGTGGCTCTCGGGCTCGCTTAGCATGAGTGACAGACCTTGGTGCTGCTGTGGGCCTCTCAGCTATCTTTCTCTGAAGATTCTCTCTCCTAGCGCGGGTTCGCTCAAGCAGTTTCTAAATATGTATTAGAGAATGTTAAAATACAAGGTTAGTCAAAGGTTCACAAAATTTCAGGTATCTTCCAAAATCACCAAATGGATAACAGTTAAATATATTTCAAAGGATAATTCCAAGTCATTAAGTCAAGATTTCACTAAATGAGCACCCCAATGTCAGAATGATTACAGATTAAATATGAATATTAAGGATCAATAGAATATGTAAAGATATAACATTTTAAATCCTTTCTGCTCAAATCAAAAGATATAATCTATTTTCTCACCCTTGTGATCTGCTTTGACCAATAAAATATGGCAGAAGTGATATTCTAAATGATTTCCCATCTTAGACCTCATGAAATCTTGCAGTTTCTGTTCTCCCTCCCTTAAAATACTGCCCCACATGAAAAAGCCCAGGTTAAGTCTGCTGGCAAAAACATGGTTTCCCTGACAGCCAGCATCAACCAGATCCATAAGTAAGGTTATTGTAGACTATCTAGGCCCAGATAATTTGTCAGAACACTAACAAATCCTGCATGACCCTGGGGAAGACCAGCAGAAGAACAGCCTAGCTGAGCACAATACAAACTGACCCACTGAATCATGAGATATAAACCAGCTGTGGTTTTAAGTCAACATGTTAGGCAGAATAATGGTTCCCCAAAGATGTTTATGTCCTAATCCTCTGATCTGTGAAGGTTACCTTAGAACAATAGTGACTTTGCTGATGTGATTAAGAATCTTCAGAGGGGGAGATTATCCTGGATTATTTGGATGGGCCCAAATGTAATCACAATGCCCCTTACAAGACAAAAGGAGGCAGGAAAATTGGAGACAGGAAAAATTTGATAGAAAAATAGGTCAGAGTGGTGATTAGTAGCTTTGAAGTTGGAGAAAGAAGCCACAAGCCAAGGAAGGCAAGGGGTGTCTAGAAATTACAAAAAGCAAGTAAATGGAATTTTCTCTAGAGCCTCCAGAACAAATGAAATCTTGGCCCCAAACACTTGATTTAAACTCAGTAAAATCCATTTCAGACTGTGATCTACAGAATTGAAACATAATAAATGTGTCATTTTAAGCCGCCAAATTTTTGGTACTGTGTTACAGCAGCAAAACTAATACAGTCACTAAGACAGAAAATCTTGGCAAGCAGCAAGAGATAGCTGACATATTAGTCCTTTCATAAGACACTTCCTAAGAGAAAGGAAAAACAATGCAATCTTATGTTTTATTTAATTAAACATCAACATATTATAAAATAGTTTTAAGTTCAAATGTTAGTCATCCTGTGAACTTGTAAATACTCTTCTCTTGCTTTGAATTACCTGATGTTTTTATCTGAATCAGTGTGATGTAAAACAATTTATTCTCTTTCAAATGGACACAACTAAAGAAGAGATGCAGATTCTTACAGCCTGCACAAACAGACATAGCAGCAGTTAGTGCAAGCTGGAGAATTAAATCTTTTTAATTCCTTAATTAAAACAGAATAACAATTTTTAAGAAATCCTCTGAGCATGCAAAAGGAGGGAGAGCTGTTTTGGGAAGAAGGCACAACTCTCTACTCTTCTGAGGAATGATTCTCATTTAAAATCAATTGGAAGAAGTGACACTAATCAAAATGTGTCACTGAAAGCCATTTATTAGCCAAATGCCTTCCAAAACACAAGACCTTTACCCTCTAAATAAAAGTCTCCTTGATAAACATAAAAGTGATCATAATGTTACACAAATTCATAAATGTCTAATAGTTTTCAAGATAAAATATGTCACTCTGTAGACACAAAACTAGCCTATTTATTCCAAGATGTGTCCACATTCCATTTCATCAGTTAGAATACTTATGAGTCAGTACAGCTTCAGTTACCATGAGGAATGGGTCACAACAAAAGAATGTGGTTTTGCATTCAAACACACACAAGTATTCTATTGTTTGCATTACATTCAAAATTCCCAGATTTAAAAAAAAAAAATTATAGCGGATAAGGAAAAAAAATCCCTAAGCTATAAAATAAAGCTAGTAAACCCCAAAGTATTACTTTAAAAGAAATTATATATCTAAAGTACATAAACTAAACTGCTCAATAAAGTATAGGTAGCCCTTCATCATAATATTGTATCAAGAATTTAAAGATTATGAGGCTGGGGCTGGGGCTCAGTGACAGAGCACTCGCCTAGCACCGGCGAGGCACTGAGTTCTATCCTCAGTACCACATAAAAATAAAGGTATTGTGTCCCATTACAACTAATATATATATATATATATATATATATATATATATATATATATATATAATTTAAAGACTCTTTAAACATAATATTCTCAAAAGGTAGAGGAATTTTTAAAAACACACTGCAATAACTAACATATTTTGGAAATAAGATTTTCCTCATGAATGAATCTCAGATAACAGAAACTGTATCCCTAAATTTCTAACTTAAATTTTTCTAGAAGATATTACTGATTTCCCTCCCTTTTTAAACAGAGTAGACTCAATATAAATTAACTTCTTATTATTTTCAATGTGCTTTAGCAGATTTTCTCCTAAGCCAACACAGAGACTTTCATTTAATTCTGGAAAACAGAAAATCTCCTTTCAAAATGGTAGCAGTATTTTGTTTGTTCATTTATACTAAGCCATGCATGCATAGAAAAATATAAAGTATCTCACGATAAATGATAATCTTTACAAAGTATTTTATTTATTTATTTCTAAGAGATGGGGGCTTCCTATATTGCCCACGTGAGCCTCAGCCTCTTGGGTAACTGAGACTATAGGCACACACTACCATGCTTGGCCAAATAATTTTAGTTATAGCCTTTTTCCTTTTTAAAGTTCCAATAAAAAAGCTGTTACTTGTCATACAAAGCTCTGGGTTTACTATACTTTGACCAGTTACTATTACTCTTGATCAGACGTCAAACAAAAAGGCTATATCAATATTCTCAATAGTTCACCTATGGTTTTAAATTTACCCAATAAATACAACAATCACTTACAATTATACTAAACTTAATATAAAACACTTTCAGTATCTAGCACACACTAATTCATTTCACTTTCAAAACTTTATTTGGTGGTTCTCTTTCCACTACTATTTTTCAGATGAGAAACTGGGACACAAGTAACAGGATATGTCACACAGCTAAGTAGCAACAAAGCATACTATGTGCATGTACAAATATGTAACAAATCCCATCAATATGTACAACTATAATGGACCAATAAAGAATGTGGAAAAACAACAACAACAAAGGAGCAACAGGCAGGATTCAAAATCCAGATCTGAGTCTGAGCTCTTAATCATTTTGCCATTAATTGTCTTAACTAAATTACTTACTCTTTTTAAGAATTTGTCAGCAGAATTAATTTCATATCATTATTTTTTTATTAATTTCATATAATTATTTTCTTTATTTATGGTTGGTCCATGAAGAAAAACATTAGAAGATATTGCCCTGTGGATCATCTAGATCTTGATTCAAAGAAATAAGGTAACAAAAATTTATGACCACTTGAAGGCTGGGCTGGGGCTCAGTGGTAGCTTGCTTGCCTAACACATGCAAGGCCCTGGGTTCAATCCTCAGTATCACATAAAAATAAATAAAAAAAATAAAGGTTTAAAAAAATATGTGTATATATAAACACCTGAAATATGAACAGTCACAGAATACTTGATATATGAAAGATTAATGCCAATTTTTCAGATGTGACAATAACATTGTTATTATGTTTTTAAGAGTCCTTTTTCAATATTTAGTGATAAATATTGAAGTATATGTATATGAAACTATATGATATCTAGATTTGCTTCGAAATAATTTGTGAGGTAGGTGAGAGGGAGTTACAGTGAAACAAAATAGCAACAGGTGATAACTGCAAAGAACAGATAATGAGTGAATGAAGGGTTATTATACTATTCTATTGATTTTGAAATTTTCTTCAATATAGAGGAACATTGCCAAAATGTTCTCACAGGTTTGTAAAATAATTTGCACTCAGTGCCTGTCTGCTATGTTAATTCAGCAAAATGGTATTATATGTGTTTGACACTGGGGGAAATGCCTCAGAATAGAAATAGCCTCTGCCTTCATGAAGCTCAAGCTCTGGCAGAAAACTAGTTCAACAAGTAAAGCACTGAAGAGGCAAATGCAAGGGAGATGAATACTGTTACTGTGAAAGGTTATTCACCTCTGAAGAAGGGAGATCAAACTGAGGGCTGAAGGTCAACTCAGAATTTGCCAGGCAGAAAGGGCAGGGAGAATGAGTGTGTAGGTCCAAGTGGCAGCAGGGAGAACTAATACAGAAGAGTCTTGCTCCAGGAAGAGTTTAGAATGAGTCTAGCCTTTCCCATTAAGAGTTACCAAGAGGACTGGGATTGTAGCTCAGTGGCAGAGTGCTTGCCTCGCATGGGTGAGGCATTGGGTTAGATCCTCAGCAGCACATAAAAATAAATAAATAAAATAAAGAGATTGTGTCCATCTACAACTAAAAAAAAATAAAAATAAAAACAAACAAAAAAGAGTTACCAAGAGAATGAGGTCCTAATGCCCTGGCATTCATGTAACCAGACCTCTGCTGCGATGTAGGATGGCATTGGTTATGAATCACCCTTGGGAGAACTGAGAAAGTAGTCTCTGGAATAGTTTTTTGTGTTCTGTGGTTTTAAGAAGGAACCTGTTTGGGAAAGTCACTTTATACTTACTTTCAATCCTTTCAGACAAGGAACTGTAGTTCATGTCATTGTGAAAAAATGTTATGAATGCTATTATTAAGCACCTAACAGTTGGGAAGCAATTCAAATAGTTCACTCATAACCAATTAAGGAAAAGATGTCAAAACTGTTATTCCAACTGCAACTTTTCATAATACAAACTATATACATTAAACCAAACATATTTCTAAACACATTCTAAGATTATCTAAACAAGAAGTTTCTTTTAACTAAGATTTGTACTAGTTTTATTTTACTTTTAAGTGAAATAAAGACGAAATTTTCAGAAAACCTTCAAAATGCTTCTAGTTACTAAGGAGAACACACATTGTTGTTTTAAGGACTTCTAGTCTCATTATAACATAAAATAACGTATCCTTTTTTTACTTCAATTTTAGTGACAGATATTTATTGCATGGCCAGCCCTATTCTTTAAACTAATTTTTTTAAAAATCCTGGATTTTTCTATTAGAATCTTTAAACAAACTGATATTTTGTATCCCAAAATGACTAAATATATGAAACACAGAAAGACGGCTTTGTGAATACAAGTAAACTCTGTTGAAATCTTTAGTATCTTAGCGTTAAGGAATTTTAACTACATCTCCCCAAAACAATGTATTACTACTTTCCATTGAATTTTTCAATTTAGTGTAAAAAACGTTTTTAGGCTCACTTTGTAACAACTCAAAACATGACAGTTTGAAACTTGCACAACAGCCTCGTGAAAGAAAAAGAGGAACTGTGCTGGAATAAAAAGGGAATGGACTAACCAGCAACACGAAACTTCCGAATGTGTCAACGAACACTCTCAACATGAAGCTAAAACTAGAATGTCAAAAGCTATGTAATGTTTTGAACAACTAATAAATAAATAAATAAATAAATAAAATCAAGTCATTTATATGCTAAAAAAAAAAAAAAAAAACTAGAATCCCCGGTATGAAACTTTGCAAGTTAGCAGAGCAACGGAGTCTGAGGGAACCCTGTTGACTCTGGGAATGAGTACAAAGGTTCCAGCACCAGCTTATTTGACAGGTTTTGCTGTCGTTAACAGCATCCTTAAATGCACACACGTCCCACCCTGTGAAACCTCATCAGCGGGCCGCGAGAACCCCGCAAACGACATCCCATTTGATTTCCCGGCAGTGGTTGCACACACACAGCTGAGTCACTGGGCACCAAACTCCACCCTACAAATGATTCCAGCTTTTTCCAGCAGGACTTGTTCCGTCAGGTCCCAAGCCTCACTCTTTGGGGAAAGGAGGGAATGGACAGGGAGGATTCCAAAGGGGTATTGCTGTAACCGGGAACGCCAGGAATTTTCTCACTGCCGTCTTTTATGAACAGAGTCAAAGCTTTACTCCAGAGTTTCTTCTACACGGAACAAACAACCACAAACCGCTAACAAACGCACCTGAGACCCCCGGGGCAGAAAAGAGCGCACCTGAGACCCCCGGGGCGCTGGCCCAGCCCACCCGGCACCGAACCCCACACGCTAGCTCTCACTGCGCACGCGCGCACGCACGCAAGCGCGCGTCCCACCGGTGGGCTCAAAGGTTGACAGAGGGGAGGGTGGGGGACGACAGGGGTCATGACTGGCTGCGCCCGCAAATTTTCTCACCTCGGTAAAGGGGTCCATCGCCCCAGGCTTCGCGTGTGGACTACGAGACAATGGAAACGGTGGTTCAAATTCAGGAAAAGAAAAGTGAGTCTGGGCTCAGTGTGTCTCCTGGAGAAAACAAGGAGTCAGGCACAGGAATTCTCCCACAACCAACTCTCCTCTTCCCTCAGCTCCCAGTGTCGGACTCTACCTCCTTCGGCCGTTCAAATTTGAATTTCAGCGCCCGGAGCGGCGCGCGTGCGCGCTGGTCGGGGCGGGGCGGGGCGCATCTCTCCCCGCCCCCGGCGTTTGATCACGTGGTGCAGTGAGCAAGCCGAGGTTCCCAGGGGAGGTCTTGCTCTCAACCGCTTAGGTGGGGCTGCTCCCTCCCTTCAACTGCTTCCCGGCTTAGGCCAGGGAGTCCCCTAAGGCTCACATACCCAACCCTGTTAAACCGATCCCTTCCCACCTGGCATTCGGGCATTCCCGCCTTCCTTCATTCCTAAATAAAGGATTAAGAGCCCTCGTCTTTGAGGTCCTTGGCCCTTTGGCCCTCTATAGCTTTCTCTCCGCTTGCCACTCCAATCCCTGCTGCAGGTTTGCCCCCTGAAGAGGCAGGTCTGGTAGGTTCCTGCACTCTTGGGTCCAGTGATGAACCCTTTCACATAGGGAAAACGAGGCTAAAATTAATGCACTGTGTTTAAGAATTGGTATGCAAAACGCGTCCTACTATTTTAAATCCCATCAAACTGCACAGAATTTTGGAGTTGGGAGAATTTTGAGCAGCTCTCCAGTTCCATCCTTACTATTATCTGAGAGTGGGGGATCCAAAGACATTAGTTCGACCAAGAGAAATGAAAATCCCATTCTCAGCTCATGATCCGCTTTTCACTCTAAATCTGTGTCTTGGATGTGTTATTTATGCAGAACTAGAAATTGTAAGATATGTTACATCGTTGCTGCATTAGATTCACTTCTTGTGTGGCAAGTCTGTGCTAGGGCTTGTGAAGTCATTCTCGACTTGTTCATCTGAAAAGTAACGCCCATGTAGATTAGATGACTGTCCAACAACTGAACAAAACAAATTATTCATCTCAAATAAGATCTTTTAGCATATTTAATAAAGCTTGATCAGCATGACTAAAAAAAAAATACGTCAACAGTAACATCTTTAATGTGCATCTTAATGCTGTAGATTGTAATGAACCAAATTCTCAGAGTGGGGAATGGGAGAAACTACTTGGGGGTTGGCCTCCAACAGAACTGTGACTTTAGGCTTTAAGCAAATCATTTAATGTGTCTTTTTACCTTTTGAAGGAATAATAGATTTCTTTGGAAATACAATTAAAGTTGACTATCTAGAAAAACACTCTTTCCCATCATACACTATTTTACATAAAATTTCATGAAGCACAGGTACACTGAGTTAGAAACCTGATTAAACCACTTTCTATTTTAGTTTACTCCAATACGTAACAAGAATAAACAGTCGCCCTGCCTTCCTCAGAGCGTTAGAAGCAGCAGATGAAAATAAATCCAGAAACATTCTTTTAATACTACTATTAAAGTATTATACAATACTATTCTAGTGTTACAGAATACTAATATTCTAGCACATAGTAGTATTCTGAAATATTCCTATTACAATAATTCCGTACACACACTTGAAGTAAATGGCATATGAATTTGTATTTAACTCAAAACATGCTACTTATGAATCAAAGGGGAAAGATGTTTGAATTTTTTTTCCGAGTTAACTAGACTGGAAAGGGGTGTGAGCATTTGGGATGGGCTGTGTTTGTATATGACAACACTAGGAATGAGTCATTAGAAATTTATGTAGCCGTTGTACCCTCTGGCTATAGCCTCTGTGAGCCTTAATTTCTTTGAAAATTACCTCAACTAGGTTCCCTTAAGACTAAAAGATAAATCACCTAGCACAAGTTAGCTACCCTAAACATTGAGGTTATCTTTCCTCACAATCCCGGTATAGTGTTGGTCTTTACCTTGATGTTGATGGTACTAATAGCAATCACCACAATAGTACTACTTGCTAAATGCCGGCTATGTGCCACAAAGCCCACACCCCTAGAGTACTGCAGTTGACTGCTAACTGAATGATTTTTCTCTTTTTAAAAAGTGTGTGATGACCAGGCACAGTGGCATAGTGGCTTATGTGAGTAATCCCAGCCACTTGGGCTGAGACAGGATGATGGTGCCTTTGAAGCCAGCTGGGCAACATAGTGAGACCTCCAACTCAAAAAGAATTGTTATGAAATATTTCTAGTTTACAAGATAGAAAATGGTGAATAATAAAATACAGCCAGTACCCCTAGATTTAAAAAAAAAAAAAAAATCCCATATAGAAGTGAAGTCTCCAGTATGGCCCTCCCTAATCCTATTCACCTTCCCATTCCCCAGTGCTAAAACTGTCTAGATTCTGATGTTTATCCCTATAAAAATATGTCTACTTTTATTATTATATCTACATATATAAATATCACTGAAAGTGTTTTATATAAATTTTATCTTCATTGTTCATATCCTTTTGCAGTTTTTGGCTGAACATTATCATTTTGATATCATTGTCAAAATAGCTAAAGTTGCATTTCATTCATTTTTTACTACTGTATTTATTATATAAAAGTACTTGCAATTTATACAATATCCATTATCTTCTCAATAGATATTCAGCTTGTTTCCAATTTGTTGTCCTAAAGGTCCCATGATGCCAGTGCATACACATGCCAAAATTTCTTTAGATTAATATACCTAAGATTTAGTAGATAATTTCAACAAATATATTTCAATATGATTACCAGATATGGAAAATAAATTGTTCTTGAAAATGGTTGCAACAATTTATACCACAGTCGGTAGTGCATGAACATGGCTATTACTCCTGTTCCTCCCAGTAATGGATTTTGTCATTCCTATCTGTGTGCATTTCTCTTATTACTAGTGGAGGCAAATTTGTGTGTTTATTGGCCTTTCAATTTTTCTTTTTTGTGATCATCAAATTTATATCCATTGCCCATTTTTTGTGGGTTTTTTTCCTTATTGATTTGTAGACTTTTTGTTAATTTGCTTACAATTTTCTTGAAAAATAAACACTTTCTTGGTTTTGTGGCTTGCAAATATCTGTTCTTCTTTTGTGACTAGGTTTTCACATTATATTTTAACTCTACAGAAATGTTTAATGTTAATTTATCAGATATTTTTTCTTTAGGTTTTGTGTATTTTATACCTCAAGAATTTCTTTCCTGAGCCGGGCACAGTGGTGCACACCTGTAATCCCAGAAGCACAGGCAGTTGAGGCAGGAAAATCACAAGTTCAAAGCCAGCCTCAGCAGCTTAGTGAGGCCCTAAACAATTCAGTGACACCGTATCTCTAAATAAAATATTAACTCTAAATAAAATATTAAAAAGGGCTGGGGATGTGACTCAGTGATTAAATACCCCGGGGTTCAGTCCCTGGTACCCCAAATAATAATAATAATAATAATAATAATAATAATAATAATAATAATAATTTCTTTCCTACCCTGAATTCATAAAAAATTCTCCCCTGTATTATCTTTTTTTTTTTTTTATGGTACTGAGGATTGAACCAAGAGGAGCTTTACCACATTCCCAGTCCTTTTTATATGTTGTTTTGAGGCAGGTTCTTGTTTAAGTTGCTTGGACCTGGATAAATTGCTGGCCTCCAATTTGCAATCCTCTTGCCTCAGCCTCCCATGTTGCTGGGATTACAGGCATTCCACTGCACCTGTGTTCTTCTAAATATTTTAAATTATAGATTTTCATGGTTTTCTCTTAAGCTACCTGATTTATTTTGTATTTTATGTGGATAATCAGTTGTCTTAGTAGCAGTTTATAAATTGTCCATTATTTTCCTCTGACCTGTTATTCTACTTTTACCACATGTTAAAACTTTTAGGGAGCTGGGGATATAACTCAGTAAAAGAGTATGTGCTTGGCATGTGCAAGTCCTTGGATTCAGTCCCCATCACACACACACAAAAAAAATTCATGCACATGCAGATTTATGATGTTGGAACTCTTCATTCTTTTCTACTGGTGCATTTATCTATATCTTAGCCATGCTGTCTTGATTGCAAATGTTGATTTGTAGTAGAGCAAATCCAAAACTGATTTAAGTTTATTGTGTCCCTTATTCTTCCACCTGAATACAGGATCAGACTCTCAAACTCCATAAAGAAACATTTTTTGATGATGTTAGTTCTGCCTATCCATGAACAGGGTATATTTTTCCATCTTCTAAGATCTTCTTCTATTTCTCTCTTTAGGGTTCTGTAGTTTTCATTGTATAAGTCTTTCACCTCTTTTGTTAGGTTGATTCCCAAGTACTTTATTTTTTTTTTAAGATATTGTGAATGGAGTGGTTGTCCTCATTTCCATTTCAGAGGATTTGTCGCTGATATACCAAAAGTTCTCTATAGGTTTAATGCAATGCCAATCAAAATCCCAACGGCATTTCTTGTAGAAATAGAGAAAGCAATCATGAAATTCATATGGAAAAATAAAAGACCCAGAATAGCAAAAACAATGCTAAGCAGGAAGTGTGAATCAGGCGGTATAGCGATACCAGACTTCAAGCTATACTACAGAGCAATAGTAACAAAAACAGCATGGTACTGGTACCAAAACAGGCGGGTGGACCAATGGTACAGAATAGAGGACACAGAAACCAATCCACAAAACTACAACTATCTTATATTTGATAAAGGGGCTAAAAGCATGCAATGGAGGAAGGAGAGCATCTTCAACAAATGGTGCTGGGAAAACTGGAAATCCATATGCAACAAAATGAAACTGAATCCCTATCTCTCGCCATGCACAAAAGTTAATTCAAAATGGATCAAGGAGCTTGATATCAAATCAGAGACACGCCGCCGTCTGATAGAAGAAAAAGTTGGCTACGATCTACATACTGTGGGGTCGGGCTCCAAATTCCTCAATAGGACACCCATAGCACAAAAGTTAATAACTAGAATCAACAAATGGGACTTACTCAAACTAAAAAGTTTTTTCTCAGCAAAAGAAACAATAAGAGAGGTAAATAGGGAGCCTACATCCTGGGAACAAATCTTTACTCCTCACACTTCAGATAGAGCCCTAATATCCAGAGTATACAAAGAACTCAAAAAATTAGACAATAAGAGAACAAACAACCCA